TCACTGTCAGTTGTTGCTTGTCTTCATTTATGCATTCATCAGTATGATTTATTATAGAAATGACTGTGGCATCAGTATCATCAGTACTTTGCCAGTACCATTGTCTCAGGTATCAGCAGTACCCACATCTCCTCACCTCTAGATTTGCAGTACAGATAAAGGGTACTATCATCCTTTAGAATGATATGTTGACCAAAAACCTTCACTGCATATAGGTACAAGACCCTCCACCTTTGGACCATGCAGATCACATCAGGACTGTCAGAGAAACCATCCAGAGTCTCAAGTACACTTATCACTAGTACATTATTACCTCTAGAGGAACATTAATTTCCGTCTGGGGACTAAGAATGTAGCAGGGAAACTCACAACCAAATATTCAGATTTTATCTGTGTAGGTAGGGCACTGAGGTGGTAGCCTAAAGTTGTATGTATCTAGGTGGCTAGTTCAGCTTTCAGGCATCAAGGTTTTGCTATGTCTGTGGTCTCTCCGTTACCTGTGGTAACACAAAATAGAAGGAATGTGAACAATTCAGTCTTCACCACACCTCATGGGGTCTTCCTAGGTTGGCCACATTGCAGTGGGTTTGGATGTGCCCTTTTGTACCTTTTAGAGCTGAGAGTGATTGTTGTCCTGAGATGCTGCATGTAGATCTGTGCTGGGAACTTAACAACCTGCTAGTCCTGGCACCATGAACACACACCCTTCATGCAGCACTTCCCTGCCACCCTCAAACCCCATTCCCGCTCATTCTCCATTCAGATCAGCGATCAGTGTGTTAATGTTTCTATTCTATGCAATAAGATGCTGCTAGAGCATAACTGGGCATCAGCTGGCTCTGTCCTGGCTGCTTCTGGTCACTGCAGACACTTCAGAGTGCTAATTCATGAACTTTTGTATTCCTCAATACAATTAAGTCAGCCAACTTTTGGCATAGCTGTGTTTGTTGTTTGTCTTAGTGTTCCTTTCTTGTTCAGTAACAGATACTCTTGTGAGGGAGTTCACAAAGAACTCTAATGAGGACCCACCACTTCTTGACCTTGACTGGTGGGTTTGAGTATTAATTAGCCTCTTCCTTTTGTTTTCTTTCTGTGATAAAACGGTTTTTAAAGGAGCAGTATTTTTGGATGTAAAGTGGGGGAGTTGCAGATTCTTTTCCCCATGTGTCCTTCTCCACTGCTTTTATGTATTGATGTGCCATTGTACGAAATTCCTCTCCAACATATTCCCACACCTATATCCACTTATCTACCAACCAGATTTCCTCCTGATAGCATATCTTCAACGTGCAAGGAAATGCAACATGGACTGGTCATGGCTTTGCAAAGAGAAGTATAATTTTGCATTGCAGGTTTGCTTGATTTAGATTCTTTCTAAACAATTTTTGTGTATCTGGGTTTGATGTGCAGTGTAGTACAGAGGTAGCTGACAGAGCATGATTGCAGGTAAGCAGTGTGGATATATTGGGAACTAATTCTAACTTTTACAGGTCTATGCATTGTACTCCACCATGCAAAACAAAAATGCCTTTTGTTGCCTGTATTGCAGGAGAAATTAAGCTAAAATAATGAATTTTGGGGGAAAAAATCAAAACTGAAACTAAGAAAGTGTCAAAGTGGAGTGGGACTTCCATCTGCTAACATTAAAAATTAATTTGTTCCTCTTTTAAAGCAAATTAATCTTTGTTCATACAGCTGACTGGATAAAATTATTAAAATGTATATGATGTGTCAGTTCTGGAAACTAAAATGAAATGCTAACTTTATGCATGATCAGCCTTCTCTTAAAATTGAAATAGAATATCTGGATTTGAAAGATTTCTTTTTTAATTACCAGGGTATCTCAAACATTACTAACTGGTTCTGCTGCATAATGGAATGCACTTAGCTTAAAATGTTGTCATCCACCAAGGTGAATTAAAATGGGTCTAAGTTTTCCCTGCAACAAGGCTACAGGCAAGGAGTTTCATAGACCTTCAGTCTGAGCCAGTGTGGTTGCTCTGAGGTTCTGATAACCAGCCCTTCCTCTACTAGTTTTTTGAATATTTCAGTTAATTTTCAGCTATCTGAGAATATTTTTCACTTTTTAAGTATTATATAAACAGCATTAGCAAAGAGCTGTGGTCACTGAAGCTGGTGGAAAGATAAAATCTGTGAGCTTTCCAGGAGGTTCAAATAGAGTAACAGAAGCCTGAAATCACTGAGTTGTATTCAATCAATAAGCACTCTGCTCCCTCCACCATGGCCACCTAATTCACTCAACCCTGCAAAATACTTTTTCTGAAAACTGTGTGTTTAACATAACAGAGCACTGTACTGAGATGCAGTGGGTCGCTGAGATGGCAGAATTATGTTGCAACATCTGCTAAATGCTCATCTGCACAGAGAGACAGCAACAGGAGGGGGACCCCAAATAATGCTCTGCTCCTGCAGCTCCCAGGCCCATCCCAGTAGCCATCAGCCCATTAAAAGCCTGTCTGCACCAGCCCAGAGGAGCACAGGGCCACAGAGGCTGTTTGGAACCCAAATTAAGGACTCAGAGGAAGGGACACTCTGCCTGGACCCCTCCCAGGGCTGGCCCAGAGGACCCTCAGTGCCAGTGTCCAGTAGTGAAACCCACTCAGATGCGTCAACATCAGAGCACCTTTGGGACTGAAACATGTTGCTTCCTGGGCACATGGGATACATAATGGCCAGGGGTTTCTCTAGGGGTGATGCCATGGGGCGTGGGCTGCTGAGGACCAGGGGCGTCCTGTCCAGCTCTGTGTGTGTGTGTTTGATGGTCTGTACCAGCAACTGGAGTAGGGATGTGGCTTTGTGGGCTCCTGTGTAGGGTGCCAGCAACTGAGGAGACTGGGATATATGAGCAGCTACTATGAGTCCAGCTGCTGGAGAGATCCAACTTACACAGATGTGTAAGTATGTATAGTATATATCTGTAAGTATGTATGTATATATCTGTATATTATCCCTAGTGGACCTCCATCCTGTTCAGCCAGACAGGGGAGAAGGATGAGGCCACTGGTGCTGCCTGTGTGAGTGCTCTGTACATCTGCCTTTGTTATCTGTGTTGCCAGCTGTGTATGTATGTGTATATATGGTGTACACATGTCCTATGTGTGCGTGTGCCTACTGGGTATATGTGCTCAGGCTTGATGCTGGTGGGACCTCAGGCATGGATCTTCCCCAGCCTCACCTCTCTTGGACTGCCAGACCCATCACAATGTCTCCCACCACGAGTATCCTCCTTTATTTGTACTGCTGTCAAAAGTAGAGTAAACTGGGAGAGGAGTAGAAAGATGGGGTGTTTCATATTCTGTTTTCTCATTTCCTTCCTTTTTGTGGGTTGAACTTGTAGTATATGCAACAAGCATGAAGCTGCTCCACAGCAAGCTTGTGTGTGTGCTCCTTTCCTAGAGTTTGAAAACTTGCAGTTGGGGTGTGCTGAGCAGTTTGAGGAGCAACAGGGAGGGCCACCAAAAAAGCACTGAATATAAACTTTTGTGTGTGTGCATGTCAGCTATAGGCTGCCCATAAAATACTTACTAATGCACACATTTTGTACATCAAAAGCTTGTGGAACAGTGCATTTCAGATATGAATGGCAGTGATTAAAAAAAGAAAACACCTCTGAGACTAAATATGATACAGACACAATACACTCTAACTATGTAGACAAATAGGAAACACCAAGATCCTTCCAAAAAGCAGCCCAAGAATTAACTGTTTCCTGTTGACAGAAAAATGAAAATAAATTAAAAATACTCTCAAAAAGGAAACTAATATATGCATAGAAATTCTTCAGTAGGTGACCTAGTTTTAAAGACCATTGGGAATTTATGTCCATTGCCTGTAGAGAGACAGGTGGCCAGGGAAATCCTACTGTGATGAAGCCTATGTATCCAGGGAAATAACGTTGAACTAAATTTCCCTCATTGGCATAATGCCACTAAATTAAAATAAGTGATGTGAAGAAAAAACATGTCCCTGTGTTTTCACATTAGAGCAAAAAGGACCTTAAAATGTTCATTTTAGTTAAGGTCCCAAACAGAAGGTCTTTTGTAACATCCTAGTTGCCTAATTCCTATTTTTGTTTCCTTTTCTGTGTGGTGAGAATTTGACGTTCTTTTGTTAGTGGAAGTATTTTTCCTTCTCTAGGAAAAAAAACAAACAAAAACCAAAACAATACTATAATTAAATAAAATAAATCATCTTTTGCTACACTTATCCTTCTCTTTTGTCAGTAATACAGGCAGGCATGAGGAGAGACACCTACTAGCAGATTTTATCTGTTTGTCTGGAGAAGTTTTGCTCCCTTAGGTTGTGTAATTCTTTGGTGTCAAGCAGCTGATTTATATTACTTTTGTATGTAACAGTTCTACAGCAAAATATTTTGATTGTCAGGACATCTTATTCAGGCTTCATTTCTCTTACATGGATTTGACTATTTTTGTATACTTTTATGTAGGATGAATTAATTCCTTACTTGATATGAAATATATAAAGTGGAACAATTAATATGTTTGCAAATGTTTTTATTTCTTTCTCCTTTCAAAGGAATTTATCTTAATGTTGTATAGTGTATATTTGCAATAATGTTTTTGGCTGTGAAACTTAAACAACTCTGAACTCTCACCAAATGCATTTTCTGTATAACAGAAGACATTGCAAAATGTCTTGTTACTATGAATAGGTTTTTTCTTGTATCTATCATCAAAAACTTGTCAGGAGTGTAAGTGTTTCAACAACTGGAGTGATTTGGATGTGCCACTTTAAAGTTTACTGAGGAGGTGGAAAAGCAAAGCTGAAACCAAAATCTGTGTCACGTTTCGTTATGAGGGAAAGTTCTTTGTTCTCCGTATCATCACTGGAGCGAAGCGTTATTTATAGTTTATCTCCTCTTTCACAACAGCCTGCATGAGCGTTCACTGGGCTAATCTTAATCTTCAGTTTGCTCTTCAAAATGAATGCTTCTGATGTGAGGCTACTTTACAGGAAACATGACCTCATTCTGCCTCTGTGCTGCTGATTGCATGGGCTGGTTTCAAAAGGAAACAGGGGACTTCATAGACCTGCCTTTCCGAGGACCCAGGGCTGATCTCTTCCAGGAGGCTGCAGAAGGAGCACCTTCCACTTCACGTCCCAGAGACTCTCGTGTTGATGATGAGAAACTTGTTTGCATACATGTGTTAATAGTGAAATGGACTTTCCAGGTTTGGAAGATTTTACACGTTTATCTCTCAATTAATTTGTCAGCTGAGGAGTAACTAAGCTTTGGATTCATTACTGTAGTGCTCTTCAGGAAGCTTTGTGTTTTTGTGAATGTTGTTATCATTAACTGCAGGGAGAAAAGAGTAGACTGCTCTTCTAAAATGACTGTTGTGTGAGCAAATTAAACTTATCTTTGTAGAAACTTGTGTTTGGTAGGTACAATAGGATAAAACTGGTTGCCAAGGTTGCAGCAGTTTTATCAGCATTGTATTTTGTTACATACTAATGTAAATATTTAGAATGTAGACAGGGACAGGGGATTTCTGGCTACCAATTAAGGACATTATTGTCTTAAAGATTAATTTGATATTTTGAGGGAAGGGTTATTGAAACTGACTGTTTTGGACAGTGACTTTTTTTCCATATGACATGGGCTTTTGGGTGTTTTGAAACTCAAGGGAAATTGTTGCCTTAAACATCTATTTGAATTCTTGACATAAAATATTGCTGCATTCACCTCAGAGTCACTTTTAATGAGATTTCTTAAAGCTGCTGACCTTTTCTCATGTCACAGTTTAAATGTTCTGTATTGATGTTCCTTTTGTGGATTACAGATCTAATGCTACAGCTTCATTGCATGGTGGTGGTTGAGATGCCTTTTTTGGACTTGCTTATATTTGTTACTATAGCTTCTCACACTATTAATAGCCCAGAAATGGGACGAACTTTGAAAGGAAAGCAGAACACTGTGCAGCACTGTCTATAACATAATGTTTCCATGCATTCTCCAGCATTGATTGAATTATGATTTTCAGTAATGTATTTGATTATGTAAATCTCTCCCTTTCTATTCTAAATATATGCACGTGCTCTATTTTACCTGAAATTTTGCTTCTGTGGCAGATAAACATGAGTCTTGCAGAGACATACCTTGCAAATTTGTAAGACAATTCAAATTAGTGATGAAAGGGCTGTGGTTTGTTCTGCCACTTTGATCAGGGTGTGCCAACTCCTTCTACTGAAAGTACTACCTTTGTGTAAGCTAATGTTCTTAAAATTTATGCTGTTTTTCAGTGGTTGCTACTTTTTATTATCATAACTGAGAAAATCACCTGCAATACGACTGTTATGGTTTTCAGTTCCTGTAAAGTTTCACTTTCAGATTATTAAAGAGTTGTAGTATGTATAGACTGGAGAAGAGAAGACTGAGAGGAGACCTTATTAATGCCTATAAGTATCTAAAGGGTGTGTGCAAGGAGGATGGAGCCAGACTCTTCTGTTTTCTCAAAGTGTATGAAAGGATCCTTTCCAAGATGTATGGAATATCACATGTTGCATCAACAGCAGGAACAAGTAAATTTGAGCACATAAATAATCTGTTGGGGAGGGTTTCTTATCTAACTGATAAGATTTGGGGTTTTGCAGGTTTTAGTTTATATCCAGACCTACAAACCACCTGTTGAGTTCTTCCTGTATTTTCTTTTAGAGTTATTAGGGAGCTAGTTGTATATGAAAAAATAGATCTACAACAGGTGACTCTTTGAAACACACCACCACTCTCACTTTTTGTACAACTTGCTGTGTGGTCTTTTGAGCAGTACTACTTGATCTGTTTGTACCTCTGTCAAGTTTTTTCCAGTGTTCTCCTCCTCAAGTTGTTTTTGGAAAGGTTAGAGCATGATTTTCTCATGGTAGATGGAATTTTTTTACTTATTTATTTTTATGTGTAGGAGAAACAGTATGTGTGGGAGTAGAGCAATAGGATTGCTTTGTAAAAAATGTCATGGAAGGTTTTACTTCCCTTCTTTGGTGACTCTGCCCCTCAGTCAGCCTTCACATCCAGGCTGTGATTGACAACTGAGCTCCAAATGAGGATAAACAGGATTATCAAAATGGAAACCTTGACATTAATTTATTTTCTTTGTCTCAGCTCATAACTGAATATCTAAAAAAAAGTTATCTTTGACCTATCCCTCTTGTGAGTGAATAATGGGCATTTAATAGCAGTCTTGCAAGCACGATGCTCTAAATATACAGGAGAGGAGATGGGAAAGATGATGTTTTTTTTCTTGCCATGTAATAACAGATACACCTTGTCCCTATGGAGAGCCATTTTGTGAGATTGATTCTATCAGATGCCAAACATCTGGCAGCACTTTGCAGACTTGAGCAATGGTAATCCAGACAAATCCTATTTCCTTAGTCTCCTGCCACAATATCATTGTCAAATCTTTGTCACTGTCACTATCCCTATGCCTGTTGTGCCGTGTCTGCAATTTTCATCTGAAAAATATGGTAATGGTGGCCCTTCCTTTCTACTCTGTGTCCATTGCCAGTGCAGGTACTATTTTTTGACATTAAGAAAATTTCTAGGAAAACATCATTAAAATTACTGCAGCTACTGCATTTTTGTCCATAATTATTTCTCTCAAGGTGGTAAATTGTGCAGAGTACAAGTATCTGATTATGATTGGCTCTGATTCTGTGTTCTCCTGGTTGGGATGAGTTTCCTATAAACACGATGTCATTCCCCCATTACTTCATCTATTTTATCTCCTTTAATCTCTCCCCTAATTTCCTTTTTATTTTTAGCTTCTTTTATGATCTTGTTGATATGTACAGGGTACTTGTCAGTGAAGAGCTGTCAACTGAGCTGTCAGTGGATATATGATAAGAACTCCTTCTCATTTGGCCTTTGCCTCTGCAGGTTCAACAGCATTTAATGGAGAAGACAGACGCAGCTTCTCACATCTTTTTCCAAGGTATCGAGGAAATTTATGCTTGTTTAATTTCATTCTTAGTTTGTTGGAGATTTTGTAAAATCCCTTTTGCATCTCTTAGAATTGTAGTGCTGGTATTAATTTAATTACTGCTTTAAATGGAAGTTCAGAAGTATTGCTGTGGAGATTGGAAGCACTGGCTTTTCAACTACAAGTTTTTTGGAGTATCTTTGTTCCATCTGGTTTTCCCTCCACTGAAATGACAGTATCCCTCTGTGACATGCTATATGAGATAATTAAACCTGTTACTGAAACCAATGTCAGCCACTGAATTAATCCAGTGTCTTCCTTTCTTTCCGTGGATGTTCACTACAACCCATTTGGACCTCAGAGGTGTTGAGTTCAAAGGACTAACCATAAATTCAATTTTACCTGAGATAAGTGAAATGTTTACAACATTTAGATTCTTTCACTTCTGTCACTACTCACTTCTATTTTAAATACCACAGGTATATTTTACTATGCTGTAATACCTCTCAAGGTGAATTGAATTTCAGTGCTGGATGAAGTTATCACCATATGTAGACTTTATCCCATGTTTTTCTAGCTGTGTGGTACTCTTAAGATCTGTGAGAATTAGAAGTCATGTATCCTTAAATCTTCGTTAAGTATGGCTAGGTTATAAAAAGTAAATAAATTCTGCCTGGTTAAGAGGCACTCAGGCTTGCACTATGCAGAGTAACTCAGAGAAACAAAATACTGGAATACCTCTGATGGCTCCAGGTTGGTGTAGATCTGGCAGGATCCAAGAGCAGTTGTGCAGCACTCCTTGTCCGAGAGCACTGCCAGGTAAATGCAGTATGTACTTCTCAATTCAGGCTGGCTCCATGACTTCATTAAATGCTCCACCTGGCATGAAGTCTTCCTGTAATCTGAAGCTCTGGGAAGGGTGGTGGAGGCACACTCCAGCAGGCTGAAACCCCTTAGGTCTGGAAATAATGTCATTATATCCACATATTTTAAATCTATGTCATTACCAGCCCCCACCAGCTGGAAATGTAATGTAAAATCAGGTATGGGTTTGGTGATCAGGAAGTGAGGTGGATTAGGAACTGGTTGAAAGGAAGGAGTCAGAGAGTTGTACTCAATGGGGCAGAATCTGGTTGGAGGTGTGTGACTAGTGGAGTCCCACAGGGGTCAGTACTGGGACCGGTGTTGTTCAACATCTTCATCAACGACCTGGATGAGGGTATAGAATGTACCCTCAGCAAGTTTGCTGATGACACTAAGCTGGGAGGAGTGGCTGACACACCAGAAGGCTGTGCTGCCATTCAGAGAGACTTAGATAGGTTGGAGAGTTGGGCGGGGAGAAACCTGATGAAATTCAACAAGGGGAAGTGCAGAGGTTTACATTTGGGGAAGAAAAAAACCATGTCCCAGTACAGGTTGGGGTCTGACCTGCTGGAGAGTAGTGTAGGTGAAAGAGACCTGGGGGTCCTGGTAGACAGGAGGATGACCATGAGCCAGCAATGTGCCGTTGTGGCTAGGAAGGCCAATGGCATCCTGGGGTGCATTAGAAAGGGTGTGGTTAGTAGGTCAAGAGAGGTTCTCCTCCCCCTCTATTCTGCATTGGTGAGGCCACATCTGGAGTATTGTGTCCAGTTCTGGGCCCCTCAGTTCAAAAAGGACAGGGAACTGCTCGAAAGAGTCCAGCGCAGAGCTACGAAGATGATTAGGGGAGTGGAACATCTCCCTTATGAGGAAAGGCTGAGGGAGCTGGGTCTCTTTAGCTTGGAGAAAAGGAGACTGTTCAAGGTGAATATCCGAAAAATTTTTTTTACTGTAAGAGTGACAGAGCACTGGAACAGACTGCCCAGGGAGGTTGTGGAGTCTCCCTCACTGGAGACATTCAAAACCCACCTGGATGAGTTCCTGTGTGATGTACTCTAGGTGACCCTGCTCTGGCAGGGGGGTTGGACTAGAAAGGTCCCTTCCAGCCCCTAAGATTCTATGATTCTATGATTCTATGATTCTTTATTATTAAATCATGGGCTTACTCTGTCTAGATGTTCACTAAATTGAGGGTTTCATTTCTTCTTTTCAGTTATGCTTGTCCCTTTTTGGATGATGACCCTGTCTATGAGTGTCATTCCGCAAATCCTCTGACAGGCTCCCTTCCCACGTGTCGCCGCAGCCCTCGGCTGCTTTCCAATGGTTATTACATTTTGACTGAAGACAGTTTTCTGTCTGATGAAGAAGGCAACATAACAATGACACCATCCCAGACAAGTATTACATATAAAGAGAATTTGGTTCGGTAAGTGAACTAACTCTATGCAGGTTTTACTCAAGGTTGACAATTGCTTCCATATCTCTGGACTTGTCTGGAGGTCTCTGGGTGGCTGTCTACATTTTGCTTGGCATAAGATCAGCTTTGCTTCTTAATGGAGGCATCTCAATTGATTTAGTTTAGAGAGTGCAATGATTGAAATAACTTGATTTTCAATCATGTCAAATCTTGCTACCCAGAAACTCTTCAGCACACGGTTGTGGCTGTAATTAGAGTCAGGAAGGGGAGCTATGGCTCATTTTGCCAACAGGGTGTTATCAGGATAAGGAAAAAGAAAAAGTGTGTGGAGATATATGTATATGTATATAAAAGGTCTGGTATATAAAATGTACTTAAAAACTTGAAGCACAATGGATGCAGGCTGCACCAAATGGAATATGGGAGGGTGAAGCTCATGGGTACAACGAGACCATTCAGAATAGTATCAGAGCCCAATAATTGTAGTATCACTTGCTGCTAATACATTCCCTGGCACTGCTGCAGTGTGCAGCAGTCATTCTTGGTGACATGCCCAGGGTCAAGCACAGAGCTAGGAACAGCATCCAGAACCTGGTTCTTTCATGTCAGTCGTGCAAGCTTTAGAGCTCTGTCCCTGCTCAACACTAATAATAAACTCTATTATTTGACAATCTGTCTTTTCTTTCCAGCATATTCAAGCGAAGGAAGAAAATCCATCACTCTCTTGCCAGCTTGTTCAGTCTTGATGCCTCCAGTCCATGGCTCAGCAGCACTGTCCTCGGTGATACAGATTCCTCCCATGTAGATGATCCTTGGCCCGATGGATGCAGCAAACCAGGAGCCAGTGAGAGTGATATTGGTAAGCCCTGACCAGGATCTATCTTTAGTGGGACTTGGGTATCTCTTTCCATAGGTTTTGCAGGGGTTGTCTGCCAGGATGTGTAGGTAAAGGATAGATGAACAACAGAATTGTAAGTTCTGAATTGAGCTCCTGGCATTAAAACAGAGGATGAGTCCACAAAGACCTTTGTGCCAAAAAGGCATTTTTAGACTGAAATTGAATCCAAAGTCATCACCAGTGAGGCTTATGCTGCTGTCATTAATATCTGGCACTGTCTGCTTTCACCTGGCTGTTTTAATAATGTGATTGTGTTATGCTCGATGCAGTTCTGGCTTTGCCCTCTGTATTTTCTCCTGCATGCAATTTATCTGTCTGTTCCCTACCCTTAACAATTTGGAAACCTACCTGTGATTATTTCTTTTCCCCCCCCCCCATAAAATTAATTAACAAAAAGTCTCAAAGCTCTTCTTTTGTGTGGTCTCAGTTACATCTGCTCTTTTCATAGGCAATTCAGACTTTTCTTCTGAATATAATAGCCATGTGCCACAAAGGCAGACTTCAGCATCTCATGGAGTCTCTCTCCTCAAAGATGAGGAGCTTCTTCAGCCTGGGAAACCATTTTGTTCTCCAATAAATGCAAATGAAGAGACTTTGAACAATGCAGGTATGTTACATTCTTATTCTGACATGCCTCATTTTTAGAGTGAACTGAAAATACATTAAAAATGTTGATAGGGACCCTTGCAGAACAGAATTTATTTCCTGAAACATACATTTTAAATGACTGATCAAAAACAATAACATCATCAAATTGATATTTATTCAATCCTCCCTGCTCACATCTTTTCCTCTCCTATACAGTGATAAATGAAAAAGGAAAAAAAAGTGGAGTGAAGAGGAAAATGAAGGAAAGGGCATGGGAACAAAAGCTGAAACAGGCAATTATTCAGAAAGGCTTGTTTTCTGAGAGCATGGAGGGCACAGTGTTTCTATGGTCATGGGGGAAAAAGACTCCTGAGAGACACCCAGAGCATGAAAATTAGGTTTCTGCTTTGAATCACTCTAGATGAATTCTCTTAGCAAGAATTTGAAGAGACTGGCTTCACAGGCTAAAGGTAGTCTTTGCAAACATTTCCTGTCACATCTTTACTTTCATGAAAACTCACTGAAATTATTTTCCTGATTTTTGTTTTAGAATCCAGCACAGTGAAAAATGTCCTTTCTCAGATGGTTGGACTAATCATGTGTTTAATAATTTCAATATGTACAAGGTAATTTTAATTTCTTTTTAGTTTCTGGTATTAATACTTACTCTCGTTTGACTGGTGAATAAAAACAAAAAAGAAGGGGCACATTTTCCAAGTTAGATATATCTTACTGTGAAAATAAATTTTCCCAGTACAGTCAACGCAGGAAAATATCTGAGCCATATAGATATGCACAAAAAAAAGAAATATGCATGCAGTTATGACAACCACTTTGTCAGGTGTGCTTAGACAGGGGTTTGAAAAGGCTGAGAAGAATCAGAAGGAATCCGTGTCTTTTTAAGAGATCAATATAGGTGTTTTGCTCCGTCTGGGAATGCTGAGGTCTTTATTTCTAGGAGATTATCCTCAACAGCTTAAGTAATTTAAAGTTTCAAATTACAGTTCACCTAGCATAGTTCAGAGGGTTCATCTGCAAGAACCTTCTCTCCTCCTCCCACCCAGGCTTCACCTCTATTAACCCAATACGCATCCCTTGTTTTCTTTCCTAACCTTTATGGGTATTATTATGTTGTCAGATATTTTCTGGGAGGATTGTCTGCCACTTTGTTGCTGATAATTTTAGTTTGTAAGTACAAACTTTCTTTATATTCAACACACAATATTTTATTAAGTCAATTCTGAGGACTAAAAGCCATCCTGGGGTGAATATCCACAGCTCTTATTGATGCTGACAAGAGCAGTATGTGGGTTATGGGGGCAGGATGTAATCTTCAACCAGTTAAAGGATTTTGTGTTTGAATTTCACAGTCCTTTTGTCCCAAGATGCTGCTGTGTTGTCTTTCTTCAGTCTTGAAACATCTTTCAAAACAACTAAGTTTGGGTAAGTGGGTATAATGTGATGTGATAAAGAGAGGAATTTAGAAAATTTATATTAAGAAGAGGAAGGAGAGAGTCCTTCTCTTATGTTCATGTCAAAAGATACAAGGCATGATCTGAATTTACTGATGGAGGATTTGACTTTTCCTCTTATTGATTTATACTCACAGAAACTTTCAGTTTATTTTGAAAAACTGCCTTTTCATAATGTGCAATAAATGTTGTAACACCTATTTGTTAACAGAAAAGGAAGATAAAACCTAACATGCCATAAAGTGAAGATGCAGTTAAGACTAAATACTTATTAAGAATCCAGAATTGTGCTTTCAAACCTTACACTGAGTCCACTCCCAGGCCATTAAACCGAGATTTTTTTTTCTTTACTGGAAAAAATAAAGCAGCTCACTATGCTGCTAGCCCCATCACCACCTTCCAGGATCTACAGAATTGATATGACTTGGCCCCACTAAACCAATGCACCATTAGGTTCAGGATTGAGCTTTGTCTTTGACATATACTGTAGTCTGATAAATAGCTTAGAAAGAAGTGTTAAATCAATCTGATCGGTTGAGTAAAGGTGCTGATGTTGCTGTTTCAGGCTGCTTTATTTCAAAGTTTTGCATAGAGCTGTAGCTTCCAAAACCTTCTGAAGAAAAAGACTTTAATATTTAGAGGGTCTGAATTATGTCTTTAGAGTAAGTTCACACACAAGCCTCCATGCTGAAAGCATGCAGCTCTGTGCTGGTTTTATGAGTAACCATTCTTTCTATAGAGCAGCAGAAAGTTCTTCTGACTCTGTAAAATCTAAAATGTTGCTAAGACTAAAAATATTTGGGCTTATCTTTATTTTTATATGGTGAAAGTGGAGCTCAACAAGGACATTGTTTCTGAAACTGTGTCAGGGTTCAGGAGTTCAGTGTTTCCCAAGGGCAACAAGACAATCTGGCAGACCTCTTAGTCTTTGAATTGAGTATTTTCTAAGTTAGAAACAAGATGGTACAATTTGGAGATCCATAGTGCAATGACAGTCTCACATTTTGAGCATTCAGGAGTTTTAGCACATCACCTCAGATACTCAAAGATAGTAGGTTACACTTTGTTACTATGTCATCAGTGCCAATAAAATCAAGGACACTAGGTTAGGACTAGGGTGTTGCAAACAGCAAGTTCCAAGGCACTGCTCTCTGACTTCCTGAATAGTTTAGCCCTGAGTCATAAACAAGGCTGTTCTTCAAAAGGGGAAAACAAAGAGCTTTTCAGTCACTGGTATACAGAGAAGACCTCTTTTATGTTTATCACAAAAGAGAAGTTACCTGCTCAAACAAGCAGTCCTACAACTTAACTAAATTTGGCAAACCAAAATACATATATACTGGTTATAGCAAACTGTGGTTTAAATCAGGACATACAAAATGATACATTTTTTGTTGTTTTTTTTCCCCTCTAGGAAATAGTTGGGAAGAAAGAATACTTGGTGAGTATATGTTTGAGTTTAGAAAGAATTCCATACATTTGGGGGTGAGGTCTATTAGAAAATAGGGTTCAAGCATGCCAGAAAGATTCCCTGGACTTTTCATTAGGTTCAGCTGTGGAACCCTTGCCAGCTTCCACTGTGAAGGACTCCACTTTGCTGTCTAAAACTCCTCTTTCATTTTATTTTTTGTGGACAAAATATTTCTTTTTATTGTTTGACAACAGTTGCTAAAGAGTGTAAGCTGTTAAATAACTGCTGTGCTTCAGCACAGAGAAAACATGTTTTCAGTTACATGCAAAACAAATCCTCCTTTTCCAATTTTAAGCTGAGTGGTAGAGCCAGGTGTTGTTCTGCTCTAACTTGGTACCAGTCCACTAAAGGAGTGAAGCAGCATCAATATATATCAATCCAGAATAACTGGAATACATTTATAGATTCTTTCTCCCCTACTCTTTTTCAGTCAAGCCTCATCCTCAGTCTCCAGTTTCAGTTTTTCAAGTTATTTTTAAGCTTTGGTGCAAGTCGGGACCCTTATAACAAACACACTGTTTTATTTGTACTCTTAGCTCACCAACTCAGTCCTGGCTCTGTTGCTGCCTTTATCTGTTTACTTTGAAAAGATCAAAATGCAGAGAAGAAATTAAGTGGAGCTGTGCCCGGATTTGTGTTACTTATAGTGAGGGTAAAAGAGCCTTCTTCATCAGTTTACTGGTTGAGTGTAGTTCAGTTCCTGAGATTTAAAGGCATCTGCACAGCTGGAGACACAACCCAGACAACCCTTTCAGTCAGCCCTCAGAAAGGGGACGTTGTTCATCCTGAGAACAAAGCATTTTAGAACGGGATGCAGGCATTGCTTTTTAGACACAGTAAAGCCTATGATGAAAAATACATCCTTCTGACCCACTGTGTCAAGCTGTGGATGCTAGATATGGCACTTCTTAAAACCAACAGGACTGTTTATGTAAGGACAGCAACACCAGATCTTTAAAGCTGCCTCTGATTTTGAAAAGCAGTTTCAATATTAACCAAAGCAGGTATTACAGGATGAAGCAGGAATTAACTAAATACAGACTGACACAGGTTACTGCGAGACAGGACTTCCAGCATTCCAAAACAAGCTGGTCTCTTACTTTTTGTAGAAACTTAAAATCAGAGTAGCTATTTCTGTATATTTCAAAATCAGTTCACTAACAGTTTTCATTTTTCCCCCTCCTCCTATTTATTTTCCTCAGCTTTTCAGCATCAAACTGCTGGATATCTCCTCATGGCTATTGTTACACATGTTCCTGTGGAAAAAAAATAACAGAACTGTTAGAATTCTTCCTTCAAAATACAATTAATTTTAGCTTTATTTTTACTCTGGTCAAACTGTGAGTGAGCCCACACTTCTTGGTGACTATCTGAAAGTAGTAACAAGAAATAATTGCTGTACCTCTGATGTCTTATGTCCATGAATGTCTATGTAAGCATGGGGTCCTAGAAGACTTTTAATAATAGAACGATGGGTAAAAAGTGTTCTGCAATTCCCATTCAGTTTTTGGTAAAGAGCTGGTGTCTTCCAATACTTTAGATATTAGTTTCTTTTAACAGCATGCTTTCTAATATAATGGATTCGGATCGTTGCTGAGCACATGTGGTCACACATTTCAGAAGCTTTATTGTATCACATGTATTCTGCCTCTTGGCGTTCATGCTGTGCATTAAAAAAAGAGAAATATAAAGAAGAAAGAAATATTACTGGAAGGAAATCACTCTTCAGTAAGCCAGGAATCAGGATGTGGACAAACAATGATGAATCTGAATTACCTGGATTCGGACACAAAAATACAAGACCTGCAGGTATTTATTTTAGAAACACTGAACCCTGTTTTTTCAGATTGGATCATAGCTACAACAGAGACTAATTCACACATAGAACCTGGCTGTAACAAAAACAACTATTATCTTGTGACTCCAAGCTTTTAATAATCTGCATCTTAGAATATCTCCCTGTATGACAGTTTAGCTAGGACAGCATGGATTTCATCTTCCCATGTAACAAAATGATGATGATGTGTGAGGCTGCTATTGCCCACCATATTTTTCTATAACTAGTGCTGCTTCCAGTCTCCTTATCCCCTGGAGTGCTAAAAGCCACACTAGCACAGCCCCAGCTGGCAAACTAGATGTGAAATGCTGCCTGTGGAAGGGCTACATCTGCCCATGGGGTACATCTGGGCTGGCAGGCATAATGACTGGGAATGAAAACTTTGTGGCTAAAGTGATCAAATGAAAGCTTCTGGTGAAAGAAAGAATCAACAAAACTGACACACCACTGTCTGTTCAGCCCTGTGTCTAAGCCAGACTCAAGCAGTTATAGCTGTGTTTAGTGGCTGGAGAGCTGCCCAGCTGAGAGGGATCTGGGCGTGCTGATTGACAGGGGGGTGAACATGAGCCAGCAGTGTGCCCAGGTGGATAAAAAGGCCAACAGCATCCTGGCCTGCATCAGCAGGACAGAGAGGTTATCTTGCCCCTCTACTTGGCCTTGGAGGCTGCACCTTGAGCAGTGTGTGGTTTGGGTGCCATGGTATAAGAAGGACATCAAGGTGCTGGAGAGGGTGCGGAGAAGAACAACTGGGCTGATTAGGGACCTAAAGAACAGGTCTTATGAGGAGAAGCTGAGGGAGCTGGGGCTGTTCAACCTGGAGAAGAGGAGGCTGAGGGGAGAACTCATTGTTCCCTACAACTACCTGAAAGGAGATTGTAGTGAGGTGGGTGTTGGCCTCTTCTGCCTAGTGATCAGCAATAGGACAAGAGGAAATGAGGTCAAGTTGTGCCAGGGGAGGTTCAAGCTGGATATTAGGAAAAAATTCTTCACAGAAGGACTGGTGAGGCACTGGAACAGGTTGCCCAGGGAGGTGGTGGAGGCACCATCCCTGGAGGTGTTAAAAAAATGGGTGGACGTGGTGATTTGAGAGATGGCTTAGTGGTTAGGAGTTGTAAGGTAGATGGCTGGACTTGATGATCTTGAAGGACCTTTCAAACCTTGATGATTCTGTGTTTCAGCATTGAATATCTGAACTAATGGTGCAATGAGGAAAAGGATACTAGAAATTAAGTTAAAATGTACCTTTCTCTTTCAAAGTGTAAATATATGCTGATTATATTTTGAAGATAAATATCAGTAGCTCAGCATTAAGAGCTCAGAGGGAAATTTCACCAAAATTACGAATTTTGCATAGCAATTTACTTTTTCTTAGTGCATTACATTGGATTCATATGAAGACAGACTATTTGATGTGTACAAGACCAGGTTTTACAGCCTCAATAAATGGTCACAGTAGAATGTTCTTCATAAAACTCATGTGTTCTATAACTATAAAAGTACTTATGCTACTCATCCTCATGTTTACTTGTAGTTCATACACTTGAGTAATGTTTTCAGTATTAAATAATTCTGCTTCTTTATTTACTTTAATGATAGAGACAACTGAGAGTAAATATAATTGTGTAATATGCATAAATGTTATGTTACCTATTTTATTAATACTCAGATCCATTACTTTCCAGCACTTTTTAAACTAAAGGATTATAAAGATCTTTAGTGTTTAAATAATTTCCTGGAAGAATAATCTGGAAAATTAAATCCTGTACTGAGAGGAAAGTCTAAAACTGCAATTGCTGTGCAGTCATTGAAGGGATTATGTTGAAAATGAGAAAAACCTAAGTTCACTATGAACTAGTTAGTTCACTGTAAACTAGTGAAGAAAAAGCTGATTCATTCTGCAGAAAACCTGATCTAAAATTAATTGTTATAATCTGTCTATGAATATATATAACCCATAAATTATAATTGTCCTGATCTGGAAAAAAGGAAGTTCTGGGATAATTTGGTAACTGGAGTTCAAGGGCTAAAAGTAAGATGCTTGGGATCTGTTGAGATCTTCCCTCCATGATATTTGTTAATGTTGCATTAACAAAGTTCTAGTCAGTTACCAGGTTGGTTGGCTTTGCCAGTTCCTTTCTATATATTCCAATGGACAGAAAAGCAAGGCTTGTATTGTTACTCTGAAAAGCAGCACAATAATATGTTGAATCCTGTTGCATGAAAAAACTGGACCCAGGATTTGTTTGCTGAAAAATTGAAGACAATATTTTCTAACCTCAATCTTTAAATCCAAACTTTCAGAGCTAATCGGTATTTGCAGCTTCTGTTATCTGGAGTGCCAAGCCTAGGAGAACTGTGAAATGTAATTCCAGCAAATTAAAACCACTTGTTGGTTAACGATTAACTGACACATCTCCAAACAGAGAAAGCAACTAGAAATTTCTGTGTGTCCCCAGTGATTAAGCTCTTATTCTGCTTCAATAGAGCACCTTATTTAGAAAAAGAGAATTGAAGAAGAATTTCAAGATATAGATTTATAACCCCCTGTGAATTATCTCACACTGTTCATAACTATTTTTTAAAATCATTACACATTGTTTTATACTCTCTTATTCTTGCTGTGTTCAGCTGAATTTCAGGGTCATTCTTGAGCATATATCACATAGTGCTTTATTGTGGGCATGTTCATGTTGAAGGAAACCATGACAATATTTATGGCATCCCTTAGTTTATAATGTTCCCAGTCAGTGAGCAAGTCTGTTTTGTATTTATCCTGAAAGCATTACTGCTGGAGGCCAAACCATACAAAGATTAACTTTTCTTTTTTAACTGTTATGGAATAAACCACTTTGATACAGAATACAGGTGTAGTCATTTAGTTCAGTTTTGCAGAATCTGCTCTTTGGTGTATTTTTTTCTGAATTAGCTGCAGTATTTTGTAAACTTGCTTGTAAATTTTAATATACACCGAACAAAATTCTTACTTCATCTAATTTCTTTTTTATGGTTTCTCATGTTTGTTTGTTTTTTCCCCTTATCCCTGGCATTTGCATATCAGTAAAGTTTTTCCTGTTTGCATTTATTCCTGTACTTGAGACTGTTATCAATAATGAAGATTACTATTAGGAACTGCATTTGTTTGAATTTCTTATTTGTGAGTTTATGGCCTGTCCTGTAGATTGTGTGCTCTTTGGGAGAAGATGTTTTGGTGCTTTGGTGTAACGAAAACCTCGCTTTGTTACAGGTACTAAGTAACTGTTACCAACATAGCATATGATAATAAGAATAGTAATAATAATAGTAATGACAATAACAGAACAATAATAATTTAATAGGAAATACAGATAAAAACATAGGTCCAGATTCTGAATGGGTATCAGTAATCTGATTTTCACCATTTACAGCTCAGATCTGCAGCGTTTAAACAGCTAAGATTTGTCCATGGATATCTGTTTGCTGGGGCTATAGCACCTTACATGAGTATATGCTAGTGGAGTGAACACATTTTCAAAATCCTTCTGATGCACTGTAATTATAATGCTATAAAGCATTTTTGTCATGACATAGAAATGTATTTTACATTGTGTTGTTTCATGCATTTAATAAACTTGTAATGGACTAAAGCAGTAAAGTGAATTTCTTCAGGGAAGGCATGCCAGATGGGATCCTTTTTCTTCTTTCTGAGCTCCATGTAATGTGGCTTATGACTTTATATCTGCCGTATGCATTGCATCATGCTAAGAATTTGGGCTTGTGGTACTTCAAGCTCTTAGTAGATAATTTGAGTGAAAAACAACCACATGAATGTAATGAGCACAATATGGTCAATGTATGTAAATGAAAATTTGTATATAATTTGAGAACAAATGAATGCAAAAGTCTCCTGAGAAGTTGTAAAACATTGTACCAGCAAGTTACATCAAATTTTGCATATGCATATTGTGTTGATTTTGTTTGGGCTGCAAACACTTTGTTCAATGAAGTACATTGTAAGAGCAGCTCACACGTAGGCATCTGCTGAACTTGTGTATGCCCTGGATTTATGAGCTATCTTTCTTTCACTTTCTATAGAGAGGCAGAAAGTTCTTCTGAGTCTGTAAAATCTAAAAGGTTGCTAGAACTAAAAATATTTGGGCTTATCTACATTTTTATGTGGCAAAAGTGGAGCTCAACAAGGACACTGTTTCTGAAACAGTGTCAAGGTTCAGGAGTTTAGTGTTTCCCAAGGACAACAAGACAATCTGCCAGACCTCTTAGCCTTTGAATTGAGTATTTTGTAAGTTAGAAACAAGATGGCACAATTTGGAGATCCGCAATGCAATTATATTCTCACATTTTGAGCATCCAAGGGTCTTAGCACATCACCTCAGATACTCAACGACAGTAGGTTACACCTTGTTACTATGTCATCAGTCCTAATAAAATCAAGATCATGGATTATAAGGCTCATTTTGAAGAGCCTGCACTTCTAAGTACAAGAAACCAATGTCATTATCCTACTTCAGCATCTTGCTTTGCCCCAGGTGTCCCAAACCACCAGGTTTGGACTAGGGTGTTGCAAACAGCAAGTTCCACAGCACTGCTCTCTGACTTCCTGAATAGTTTAGCCCTGAGTCATAAACAAGGCTGTTCTTCACAAGAGGAAAACAAATACACTCTGAGAGCTTTTCAGTCACTGAAAAGTATAGTATAGAGAAGACCTCTTTTATGTTCATCACAAATGAGAAGTTACCTGCTCAAACAAGCAGTCCTACAGCTTAACTGTATTTGGCAAACCAAACTACATATATACTGATTATAGCAAACTGGTTGAAATCAGGACTTCCAGTGTACAAGGGTTTGGGTGGGTGGAGAGAAGGTGTTTTTCAATTTGTTAGCATTTCTCATTATCCTAAACTGTTTACTTAACAATAAATTAAATTAATTTCCCCAAGTCAACCCTGTCTTGCTGTCATAGTAATTTGTGTGTGATCTCCTTGTCCTTATCTTGATCCATGAGCTTTTTTTTTTTTTTAATTTTCTTCTTCATCAGCCTTTTGAGAAGGGGGAATAAGCTTTGTTAGAAGGTAACTTCACTAAGTGTGAAGTAATGTTACAGTAATGGCAGGAGAGAGTCCACAGACACCTGCAGAAGGACATAATATCCAAATTTCTGTCCAAAACTTTGTCCAAATATGGACAAATTTCAGGCTGCTATTACACAGATCCATGAGTTAAATATAGTAGTGGTAAGAGATATTTTGAAGCAGCAACCTGCTGGGAGAATCTCCCAGGCAAAAAGTGAAGGACAGGAGCATTCCCTGTGAGGAAATGTCCTCGAAAGACCTGGGGGTGTTAGCTGACAGCTGAACATGAGCCAGCAGTGTGCTCAGGTGGCCAAAAAGGCCAACAGCATCCTGGCTTGTATCAGTAGTGTGACCAGCAGGACTAAGGCAGGGATTGATTCCCTGTACTTGGCACCCTTGAGGCTGCACCCCAAATCCTTTATTTAGTTTTGGGCCCTTCACTACGAGAAGGACATTGGGGTGCTGGAGTGTGCCCAGAGAATGGCAAAGAAGCTGGTGGAGAACAAGGCTTAGGAGGAACTGTTGTTTAGCCTGGAGAAGAGCAGGCTGACGGGAGACCTTATCGCCCTCTAAAACTACTTGAAAGGAGGTTGTAGAGAGGAGGGAGGATTGTTCTCTTCTTCCAAGTAACAAGGCGATAGAACAAGATGAAACAGCCTCAAGTTATGCTGGGGGAGGTTTAGATTGGATATTAAGAATTTTATTTATTTATTTTTTTTCACTGAAAGGGTTGTCAAGTATTGAGAGAGGCTGGCCAGGGAAGTGGTTGGCTCCACTGTTCATGAAGGTATTTAAAAGGTGTGTAGATGTGGTGCCAGGGGACACAGTTCAGCGGTGAGCTCGGCCATGTTAGGTTTGCGGTTGGGCTCGGTTCTCTTAAGGGTCTTTTCCAACCCAAACGACCCTCTGGCTCTCTGAACCATTGGAACAGGCTGTTTCCACAGACAAACAGGCTCGCAGCACAGAACACCTGGGGCAAACCAGCTGATTAAAACACAGGAGAAGGACAAAAGCGCCAGACAAAGGCCAGACAAAAGACACATGCCTGAGGAAGAGGCACTTCATATATGACCGCCCACCCGTTTTGCTTCTCGGGCAGGCACACCCAGCTAAGGACACGCCGGAGCGGGCAGGGATAAAGCGGCGGGAGGCGGAGGGCAGCGATGGTGCGCAGTGAGTGTGGCCCAGAGCCGCTTTCTTCCTCTTCCCTCCTTCCCAGGACGTGCCCCCGCTCCCCGCGTTTCCTTCCTTCCCTCACGCGTTACCCCCTTCCACTCCCAACTCCTACACCCCTTGGCAGCCTCTGTCCTGCCTCTCCCCCTCTCCTCAGCGGGCTGGATGATCTGGTTTCCCTCCTTCCTGGTAAATAACAGCCCATTTAGTTTCCCTGAGCAAAGCACAGGCGTTCTCTTGCTTCCCGGAACAAGCCCCCAAGCCCAGCAGCAGGGGGACCCGGGTCGGGGCCCCTCCGTATGTGGGGCAGCCCCCCTGCAAGCGGGATGGGGTGTCTGGTGTCTGGGCCTGGTGCCCTCCCTGCTTTCCTTTCCCTGCAGCTATAAATATTCAGCACCAGATGACAATTTAGGTTTTCAGGTAGAAAAAGCCGATAGAGCCACTTTGCCAAAGACTTGAAAACTCCCTGAGTGCGGTTAAAACACACCATGCTATTACTTAGGAATCCATAATCTTTTATAGTTGAAGCAGTATGGGCTAAAAGACTGGGTGATCATACATACCACTCAGGAAAAGAACTACCTGAGGAATTCCCTTCCTCTGTGATTTTCCCTGTGGTCTGTTTTGATTGTATCCTGTCACTGGAGTGCCAGTCCCTTGCTGGGCTCAAACAGTGCTTTGGGAAGAAGCTCCTCTCTGTGGGAAGCTGGCAGGTGCCCACTTTGATCAGGCACTGCCTGAAGGAGAACAGCTTCGTTCTCCTGAGCAGTGTGGCATGAATTTGAGTCTTAAAACAACGGTTGCATACTTCACTTTTTCTGAAAGGCAGGTTCCCCCACTGTTTCTTCATTACATCTGCAGCTGTCCACCTGCTTACTTTTTCCATATTTAATGCTTCCCTTCATATCTTCTTTTTGAGTAAAGCATGTAATTTTTGTAAGCTCAGCTGTTAGATCTTCAAGACCTGTTACTTCCAGTTGATTGATTCCATCTCTTATTTCCTTCTGTCTTCAAAGACTTGATCTCTCAGATCATTGGTCCAGTCTCCTGTTCCTGAGCACAACATCAGATAATCTGTTCATAAACTTCACAGTGAGAAGCAATGTTACAATGTGTTTTGTCAATGTCCTGGAAAAGCTTTTATTTAAAACCTGTTGTTTTCTCCAGAGAATTTGTTTCCCTCATTTCTCTTAAATGAACTAGATAGCATATAAAATGGCAAATATTCACTCAGTTCCCTACAGCAGGTACCCAAAATCTGTCTATTAAGCTCCACTGCAGTTTCTGTTGGGAATGACTGAATGTGCTTTGCAAACCATCTGGTACTGGAAGCAGATGTTTTTACATAATCACTGCAACAATCACTTCAATTTTCATCAGCAAAGGGAAATCTGACTATAATAAAACTCTGAAATAGTTTTCATGACTTCTTTTCATATAGAGGGTGTAGAGCGTAATGTTGTCTCCAACATGTATATATGCAGATTGTGGAATATTGTTTTCTTGCTCAAAAATACCTGTTTACACTGAAAATACTGGCACTGAGAGATCTGCCACCGAACACATTAGTAAGCAGGCTATTTTTATTAGTTTTCAAACTTATAGCAGATTTACCATGTAACTTACTAGAACTGCCAATGGTTTTCTTATTTTCTGTGAAGACTAAAATACTGAGTCATGATTATTGCCATGTTTTTCTGTTTTCTCTATTAATTTCATCAGGTTTAATCCATGGGATGGGACAATGGTAGTTCAGGTCCAGCAAACCTACCCAACATGTTTACAAAATAAATAGACACTTCTTCCCAATATTCTTTATGTGCAGACAGGGTCCCTGCTTACACCCGTATCAGTATCACCATTATATAATTCTGTAAATTGTGTTAGATGAAACTCTGTTGAAGAGAAAGGAGTTTTAACCCTGACCATCTGTAAATAATGTAATACACACAAAACCTGTTTCATCCATTCCCTGAAGGCTGTAAACGGAGGAGCTGCCCTGACACATGTAAGTTTGGGCTGTATTGGTGTGTGTGGTTTACTCAGCTTGTAGCAGACCAGTCTGTGTGACCACTGATAAAAACGGATCATTTCACAAAGCCTTCCTGAGACAAAGCAGTAATGAAAATACACTGTTAATTAATGCATGGTTTGAACAATTTGCTTTCACAGATCTCTGTATTTTTTCTTTTTACTTATTTTTCTTCTGAGTCTCTTTGCAAGGCTTGCTAGTCTTTTTTCAGCATTAACAATCATGAAAATACCTGTGCTCATTTGATAAAACTCCAGTTTTTTAATCAGTACTTCAGTGCAGTTCACTGCTTGTCAAGGAGAAGAAAACACTAGTGCTTTTTTAGTGCAGTGGGCTGGAAACAAAGTAATAACATCTAGCTCAAGAGTGAGCCCTGGTTCTCATAGAATTTCTTTATCTTCATTATACACAGCCTTTTCACTGTTTGAAAGATTGCCTGGCATTAAATATTAGTATGTGAAAACTCAGAATCCAGATCTCTAGTGTCTTTCAGCCACTGAAGCTCCTTTGCTGGACTGCTAATGAGCTGGTAGTGCTTAAGAAATACCTAGGATTACATTTCATTCTAACATAAACATTTATAAGCATGAATTAGTTAAGGCTTTGCCTCAAGCACTGAAAAACTGGAAAATATCTGCCCACTTTCAGCATTCATCCTGCTTATTTCCATGCACACTGTACTGATGGAAGAATATGATGACACACAACAGCTAGTTTATTTTTTGTGAACATCTGTTATCAGGATATGAAAGCATAGGCCCCTCCATGGCTTGTCTTACATGAATCAATCTGCAACTGAAGCTATGCTAAAAATAGTGGATGCTGGATTAGTTTCTGCAAGGATTGTATCACACTCTCTGGCAGACTCAGCACTTTTCATATGGATTTTTCTAAATGTTACAGGTGATGTGTGTTTCACAAATGATGTTTACTATGGCAGAGTTGCCTGAAGTTACTTGTTTCTTGATATCTTTTCTAACAGATTTTTTAATTATTATTATTTTTTATTGGTGTTCTTACCAGATACCTGTTTTTAAATGGTGGAACAAAAGATTTTAATGATTTTATATGTTGTTCCTAAATCAAATGGTAGAAAGTTACTAAAGGGAAATGCACACTGTTTCTTTCAGTCACGGAAGATCTTGTTAGAAGACGTGCAGAACATAATGACTGTGAAATTTTTTCACTGGAAGAAATCTCTTTACATCAGCAGAAAAATGCTGGAGTATCTTGACAAATGGTGTCGAGATTTAAAAATTCTCTATCTTCAGAATAATCTAATTCCAAAAATTGGTAAGTGTTTTCTGGATATATATCTTTAAAAATGGATTCATGCAGAATTTTGAAATCAGAAAAAAAATATCTGTTGTCCTATACTTTAAGGGAATGTAGAGTGAGTAACTTGAATAGTTCTACATGTATCTACTCCTACAAGATTTCTTTTACCCATCTTTCTAATAAATTTCAAAGAAGCTCAGAAATGTGCAAGTGAAATTTTAAATGAAAAAGATAATACTAAGATACAAGTCACTTGAATATGAGTGTGGAACACCTTTTATTGATTAAAGTATCAAAAATCAAGATATAACTTAAATATCCTGTCTTTGTGGCAAACAGAGACATAGAATATACTAGAATATGCCAGAGACTATGATATCACAGGACTAGCTCTCTGCAGGCTCATTTTTAAATTCAGGCTTTCTACAAAGTATGTTTTTTGTTAACAGCAAAATAATGTTCATTCAGAAAAAGTACTTGCTTTTGTGCAAAAAGCCAGCTTTTTACAGTGAAGTCTCAATAGTCTTCTTGCACCACAAGGCAAGACAGAATTTAATATGGTCTGTGTTTTGTGGTATAGAACCACATGTTTGCTAGGCCCTCTGCAGAAAGATGCAACATCAACCCTTGAGATGAAATACTTAGACTCTACAGACTGTGTGTAGATGAAGAATGCAGAAGTGCACAGGAAATATATTAGCATATTTCTTTGACGTTCCTGAAGAGGAACGATAAAACAAATTAAAGTTTTAGGGTGAAATTCTATGCTCAGGACTGGTAGGCAAAGGCTTTCAATTCTCTGGAGGGGCTCATCAGGAAACTGTATCTGTACTGATAACATCTGCATTTCATGAAGTTCAGGAATCTTCTCCCAGAGAGAATAAGGTTTTTGAAACTGCTTTATGCTGCTCTACCCCATCAAAAATGGGTCTAACATCAGTTGTTTTCTCTGTTACTGTGTCCTTAATAAGGAACAAGACTTCATCTTGTTCTTTTGTCAGCACTTATACCTCCTTTATGTTAGCATGATATATCATATTACTGTTCAGATTATTGCTTTTTGGACACAATTATTTTCAGCAATCTCATTTTTGGGACATTCAATTTTGATTTTAATTCATCCTCACTATAAGAGAATTCTGCAGCTTCCTACTTCATATATCCTTGTGTAGCATAACAGCCTTAATAACAATTGAAAAAAAAAACAAACACAACACAACAAAAACAACTTTGCAAAACCATCAACCCCCCCCCCCCAAACAAAAGCACTATATAAGTAGTGACTAAAAGGGTTGTGTATCATAGTACTGAATTTGAGAAGTAATTCTTCCCAGTGTATACCAACTGTTCATGCAGAGCATACAGCAGTTCCAAGCACTCTTCAAAATATCATAGCCAAATGGTTTATATTGACTCTGTTGGGATGTGTCTTTTCTCCTCTTAGTGAAAACTTTTATGCAGTTCTCAAGATTAGACTTGCCTACTAATCAGACAGCAAGTTGTAAAGTATCCATTGTATGGATGAGTCCTGGTTCTTTTCTATCTGGAAAAATCCTCACAAAATACTCTTGGTTTCAACCCTTAATCTCTCTCCCATCTTCATGTGTACAGCGCCTGCTGTTACAGAAATACTGTAATACGAAAAGCAAACAGCCAACCTAAGCTGCACAAGTCCTTGCTGAGAGATTAATTTCATCATGTGTTTGTGAATGATGAATAAAATATCTCTCTGAGGTCTTACTAAACTAAGTGGTAGTATTCATGTTACCAAACTTTTAGACATCTGTGTCTTAGGCAGTTACTGTAGCCTCCCTTTATAACCAGTGGTGTAGAAGAAGCATATTTTTAAGCACAATTTGGTTCACTGGTTCTAGACAGACACTTCAAGGTAAGACAAATTGCACCTTGAAGAGCTTATTTCTCTCTAGTGATTATAGAAGAGGATAGACAACTAACTCAGCTGTAGGCATGATCTCTGTTGGCTAGGTGAACATTCCTCTGGCTGAATATCTTTGTCTCAGCAGGGACAGTTTTTTTCAGCAGTTAATCAGTGTGGCTTGTGAATTAGAGTTTGAGGTAAAGTTTATGCCTTCATTGGATAGGCTTCCCGGTCAAATCTCTGAAAGATCTGGTGATTGAGGAGAAATTGCTGAACTGTGACACAAGTTATCCTACGTATATTGTCTTAAGGTTTATGTTTCTGACCTTTGTGTCATGTGCTCTCTAATGGTGGTTGACTTTTTTGGGACTGATGAAGAACATTGCTACCCTGTTCTCTCTTTACCCCCTTCGTGAGTGCAAAGAAGGAAAGTCTAGTTTTCTGACACAACCCCACACCTTGCAAATCATCTAATTTCAATAGTTTATGCTGAAAATAATACAGATTATATTCTAGATTAGGAGGGTGTGTGCATGTGGCTTTGTTTTGTTCATATGAAGCTATAGAAATGCTTATTTGAAACGCTTTTAACAACGGAGAAGAAATTTCTTGTATTAACTCCACAACGATTTTTAAAAATTAAATATTTAGTATAAAAGCCAATCTTTTATATATAAGTGCAAAACCTCTAATTTTGTAAAGCTTAACTAAGTGTTACAGGCTTAACTAAGCCTGATCCTTTCTGAGTTTCTTGTCAAATGGAAAGTTTTACCATGCTTTTTGGCCAGTACTCTTGTATTATATACTTGTTTTATGGATTTGTGATTAAAAAATGTATTTCTAACCTTCTTTATTTCTTTTCACTTTGTGTTTTTGGAGAACTCTTTGGTTTTGTCTTTATTAATATTAAAATATTAATGTCCAGTGATCTGATACATATTCTGATTTGTGCTTCCTATTTTTTCCCCTTTATTATTTCTTTGAAGTGATGTTAGCAAGGAAAATGGTAACACAATTTCCAAACACATCTATTTTTTATTACAGAAAACGTGAGCAAACTAAAGAAGCTGGAATATTTAAATGTAGCTTTGAACAACATCGAACGAATTGAAAATCTGGAAGGTCAGATTTTAAACAAATTATTTTGCCTTTTCATATTGAAACATTTTAAGTTGGGACATGGTGTAACAGAGGGTGGAAGCCATTACTATGTCCACCAGTAAAAGTACTTAGTCAATACTCAGAAAGAGCCTTTTTGTGTGCAGTGTTTCTTTGTAGCAGATGCTCCCTCCTGCTGCAGTTTTGTCATTGAACTTTCTTAAATATAAGTCCCATTTTGCATATACCCTCCCCAGTGTTGCCAGCTATGATAGCTCTATTCTGTAATACTTTACAAAGCAGGAATCCGAATCTTTCATTAAATGGGTATTTTCCCACTGTAAAAATAAGATAATTTGTTATGCAGATGAGCTAGAGCAATGGGGGGTTTTGTTTGTTTGTTGTTTGTTTATGACTATGCAGGCTGCAAAAAGTCTCTTTTGTAGGCTGTTTCAGCAGTCATCTTCACTTCAGCAATCAAGTGTCACACACAAGAAGGTTCTACTCTCTGTACAGGTTGCGCTGGCAGTCTGGGGTTTTTTCAATATAGTTTTTTAAATGATTCTTTTCTCTGTCATTCCATGAAGTCCTGTCTGTTTTGTCTGTGTTTATTATTTCATCCTGCTTAATACTTTATCCTGCATGTACAAAGTTGAAGCATTTTCAAAGATGAATATCTAAGACTTAGTGCCACCCATAAACACGTTCCATATTACTTTAATAATTTCTGACTCGATTTCTTTCTCTTTGTTGATCCTGATTAGGCCAGTTGCTGAATCTTTAAAATGTCCACCTTTGATAAGGCAACAAGAAAAATAAAAAGCTAGGTTGTTTTTTATTGTTATTATTGTTGGGTTTTTGTTTTGGTGTTTTGTTTTCTTAAGTCTTCCAGCTGATTCAAGAGGATGGCTTAAATCATATAAAAGAAATAAACAAATAGGGTAAGCACAAATTAGTACAAGTTGAAGGAAGAAGTAGTACATCACATATTTGGCGATTTGCTGAGAAACTTGAATCTGTATCCATGCCAGTAAATTTTAAGTCCCTCTATAAGGTTGCATTATTTATTACTGTGATTTGTCATTTACTTAGGAGTCAGAACCTTTGGGAGTGAGCATTGCAACAATTTAGGTTAAGTCTCCTAATAAATCACTGTGAGTTGTTTATTTTCTTTCAGCTCCACTATGCATCAAATACTTGCCAAATAGACCTGCAAAGGAAAGAAGTGATTACAATGATAAGCACCAAAGTTGAGCTTGTCCTTAGCTAAACTTTTTAAACTTAGAGTCGAGATTAAGATTCAGATTGTGATAGAAGGATTATGATAAATTTTGGATCAGTGTTTCCCAGAGCATTTAGTTAGCTAATTCAGAATTTCTGATTATAATTAGTTGTTGTTGTTGACAGACAACATTTTCTTAGGGGTATTCGCAGTTTATCCAGAGATAAAGTCCTTAGCAAATTTTTAGAATTTAGTCCTTAGTGAATTTTTAGAAAACCTTATCTTTACTCTTGAATAATGTTAACTACGTAATTGATCCTGCTCTCCCGAAGCAATCAGACACTCTTTTAGCCATGTGGTGAAGAGCTGAGGAGGGGAACCAAGGCAATCAGACTGTTAAAACCAAAGTCCAGCTCATCTAGAAACTAAACATTTCTAGCTCATCTAGTATACAAGCACTACCCACAAAGTGTTGATGATGAAAAGCTATAATAAGTTTGATATTTTGTATTTTATTGAGATACTTTGTGTTTCTGTAAGTATTTTATTGAGATACTTTGTGTTTCTGTAAGTATTGTGACCTCGTAAACTTCAGCTGTGAATCACTCTTTCTCTTGTGGCTTGGGAAAGATGTGTTCTGATAGAATGAAATTAGTATACAGACAACAAATGCAGACAGTTTTACATCCAAGTGAGTGCACGTGTGTGTATGTATATAATGTGTACATTTATGTTGTGGACAAATTATATATATTTTTTGAAACAGGCTGTGAAGAACTACAGAAACTTGACCTGACAGCAAATTTCATTGGTGAACTCTCCAGTGTTGAAACCCTAAAATATAATATACATCTAAAGGAACTATTTCTAGTGGGTAACCCATGTACTCAATTTGAAGGTTATAGGCAATTTGTGGTAGCAACTCTTCATCAATTAAAAGTAAGTTTTAAAAATTAAATTTATATCCAAATCAATAACCAGCCTTGTTGCATGGACATATTAATTCCAAACGAAACAAATGACTGTGGTAGAAAACTAGGAGCATTTGTCTCATCATCCACAGGAAATTTAATTCTGTCTGAAGAATAAGTGACTACAGTAGTAATATGATAATAAATTAGTTCTGTTGTGACTAAACCACATAAACTTCTTAACTTTTCTATTATTTTCATTGGACAAAAAAAAACACAACTAAGTACACTGCACAGTGCTGAGTTTTATTCTTGTTTGTTTTTATATACACAATGTATTTTAAATTATTTTAATGATTGCAGAAAGTCACCAGGTTGTTGGCACCACACCAACAATATGTACCAAACCAACAGTGGAAGGCAGTAGAAAGATAGAAACTGATGTAAAACTGCACTGTGTTGCATTGACTGTAAATAGATACTTTGAGATTGAGGTTTTGTGTAATGATGTAATGATATTAATGTTTTCCTGCCATTGAAACAGTCAGTCCCAGTCCTGAAATATGTTCCCAGAATTTCCCTTGGAGAAATACAGACACTTATATAATTTATTAAGAGTAGATTCAGCTCCCTTTGTTGGCAATACAGTAACACCTTAAAAGAAATAATTTTGTAATACTTTCATGAGCTGAATCAAGGTCAATCAAACATGAGAAATGGTTGAAAGGACTCTGTCTACTACATAGTTTAGTAATACCAGCTGAAATTCCTGGAAAAAGCAAAACCAAACTCTTGGACACAAAACCATTTTCAGGCATGAATAGTAACTTATTGTAAATTCTTTGTAATACAGTTTAATTACATAGTGATATGGAGGACTAAAAATCAGATTTTTGTTTTACACAGGAAGTAATCTATCAAAATTAAACCTAAAGCTTAATGGATTTATTGATTTGAACATGTTTGAAGTTTCTCACATATCTCTATCATTTTGTTGTGTTTTGTTTTACTTTGGGAAGTGTTTGGATAGTAAAGAAATAGAACGTTCAGAGAGAATTCAGGCACTTCAAAACTATCCAGAAGTGAAACAGAAAATCAGAGAACAGGAACAAGCTTACCTTCTCAAAAGGGCCAGAGAAAAAGAAGAGGCTCAAAGAAGAATGCAAGAAAGACACGACAAGAAGCAAAAACAAATGGAATCTAAGCTTGGATTTGAGAGGTAAAAATAAACAAAATCAGTTTGTGAGTGAACATCGTTCTTATCTTTCTTCATTAAGAATTTTGCTTTTCCTTGTTAAATAATTTATATAATTCCACTAAAATCTTTTTGTTTGTCTTTATTCTTGTTTCTAGCAGAATTATTCATCCTCAGGCATGATACCTCTAATGAAAACTATAATTAATTGCAAACATAATTAATTAATAAGCTGCAGGGAGTACAATAGAATTTTCATCCCAAAACCCCAAGCTAAAAACTCTTGGTTCCAAAATAGTATAACTGAGAGCTTCATTCAGAACAGCTGGAAATTGTTATTTATGGTAATGCAGGGATTCCGGAGAAAGCAGCTGTTCACCTGTAATTTCTTTTGCTTTAGAGTTATTAGATATAAAGACTTAAATGGAATATTGCAGATCTTTTGATATTTAAAGGCTATGGAATGTTCACGTCTATGCTTCTTTCACCTAATATCATTGCTATTACCTAGATAGCAGAAGAATTTTTATCTGAGGTCATCTTCCACTGCAGCTGCCATCCATCTTATTTTTAACCCAACAGAGTTTAAATTCCATGGAGCCAGCTATAGAACTTTGCTCTCATACATCACAGCTGTATCATAAATTCAGTTTTCTCTCTATATTGGTAGACAATTTCTGAATATTACAGGGGAAAAAAACAATTTGGGTTCAAAGATGATACTTGAGAAGATGCCTAAGTAAAATTTTGCTAACCTGTACATTTCTAATTGCTGCTGCCTGATATTTGGAATACTTAAACATCAAGTGGACTGAAAGTTTTCTTTCACTTGAAATTTCTGAGAGTATCTGAAAATTCTACTCCTGAAATTAAAACTCTTGAGCTCCCTATCAGGGTTTTCAGAGGGGTAGGTATAACCAGAGTATCACTTCTTAGTTAAGTCAGTGAAAAACATGATGTTGAAATATGTGTCGTGGATTGATGAAAGCAGCAAAGCAGAGAACATTATCCAAATCTGCAAGGTATTGTGCTTGGTAGGAATCACACAGCAAAAATATTATTGCAAGAATTCAGTAGCAACTTGTTACTCTTACTTGTTACTCTTCCTTTGCTTCATTGGAATAATATTCCATGTGACCTTGTGTAGCCCAGACTCCCTACAGAACAAAGAAAATGATGGAGACAGAAAGCAAGAAACTGTTGAAGATAGTGAAGAAGACAGAAGATTTTGGGAGGAGCCTACACCGTACACTCCAGAAACTAGATTAGAAGCTCACAGATACATTGAAGAAAAACGGAGAGCTAAAGAAAATAGAAGGCATGTCCCTGTTTTAATATATCCTATGAATTGAGGAAGGGAAAAATTTCAAAGGTACAGAGTAGATGTAGGCAACAGCCTAGTAGTGAATATTACTGAGAACTGGCAGCTCAAATTCCTGTTGCCTGTGCAAATATGAATTAAATATTGAGATTGTTTTGTTTTGTTTCATTTCATTTTCTAAAACTTAGGATACCCTTTGTTTAATTTTTCATCAAGCAGAGTTTTAAAATATAACTTCTCTGTTCAACTGTGTTTTATAGACTAAGCTGAAAGAGACTAGGCTTAGGTTAGATATTTGCAAGAAATTATTTTCTGTGAGACTGGTAAGACAGTGGACCAGGCTCCACAGAGTTGTGGATGCCCCATCGCTGGAGGTGTTCAAGGCCAGGTTGGATGGGGCTCTGAGCAACCTGGTGTACTGGGAGGTGTCCCTGCCCGTGCAGGGGGGGTTGGAACTAGATGATCTTTAAGGTCCCTTCCAACCCAAACCATTCTATGATTCTGTGATTCTATGACTTTAGAAGTTTCACTTTTGTGTCCACTGGTACGTTTTGTGTAGTTCAATGTGTAGTTCAATGTTCTTGCCAGAAGCATTTATCAAGAGTGAGGGCTGCATTATATACATGCTCTAAAGGCCATGCTACAGAATTTTTTGTACAACTGATATTTCAGACAACTCTTCTATGTATCTTAGAATTTTTTTCACATATTTTATCAAAGATATATAAATATATAAGATATAACAAAGAATACTAAGATTCTTCAGGTTTTCTATGCAGTTTGGTATGGTGAATCTGAAGATGTTTGGCTCCTGGAAAGCCTTTAAAACTTTGTAAAGTTGCTACTGACCATGGAAAATTAATTCAGATACTAGCAAAAAAAAAAAAAAAGTATTTTATTACTGCTGGCTTATCAGTTCCACAAACATTGTAAGAAATGTCTTTGTTTTCCTTTTATTTACCTTTTTGTTAATATATAAGCATTTGTGCCAGAGATTTTTCTAGCTGTTTTTTTTAAGAGCATGCTTTTTAAAAGATTATTAAGTCAAAGTATCGACAAGATCAGTCATAGGGAAGTCACCAAGAAATTTGGAAATCTGCATAACCGGTTGCTATTATTAATTCAAGGTCTAACACTTTCCTGGAAGACTGTAGCACCCAGATTATAGCTAGTTAGAATTTAGAATTTAGGAATGCCTTGCTCTAGTCAAATGGAAATATGTTCCAAGTGCTTCCCTCTAAGTATTCAAGGAGAATCCAAATAGGATTTTAATAAAGACAAAATAATTAGCTTATTGATTTTTCTAAATTTCCAAGTCATTTAAAGGAGATAAAAATCCTTTCCCACTTCACTTTGTTTTGGTAGTCAGAATTTTGTTAGGTAGCCTGTGAAAGGTGGGAACAGAAAAGTGCCTCTGACAACTTCAAATCATCCTTGCTGGTGGACAGGAGCTGAAATGTAACTTTAATTTAAGTTACTCAGTATAAAAGGATGTTTATTTTAGTATAAAATTGACATGAGCACAATCTCACCAATGCTGAATTTTAACCTACCTATGACATATTAGCACATGTTAAAAAACTGAGCAGCTTTGGCTATTGCCAAAGGAATGAATATTTGCAGTTTCATTGAAACAAAATTCAGACAAGTGTAAAATTGGTTGCAGCAGACAGGTGTACAACATCTCCTTTAGCTGCACTTTGCCAGAACAAGGCATTTCAGGTCATCTCAGCAGAAAGGTAAAGATCTAGTGATTATGATGTGACTGAATCCTTAACATCAAATACCAGACAACTCTTACATCTTGCCATCCTCTTCTTTCTTTTTTGTTGTGAAACATAAAATACCAGAATATGAAATAATAAACCTTTTTTCTTTTTTTTTTTTTTTCTTTTTTTTTTTTCTGTTTAATTAAGGGAATCAAAAAAGAGAGAGAAGCCCCTTCGGACTCTGGTCACTGCAGAAGGGAAAGTTCTCAATGTGAATGTGCCCAAGTATGTAAGGTCAAGAGGTTAAACAGACCAATCTCTGTAGAGTTGATTTGTGCATCTATTTCAAGTTATTTAACAATCCAAAAATAAGAGGGCTGACATATTCTCGTTGCAGTATTATATACTGGTGAGGAAGCTGACTTTTAAAATTATGTTCTGATGCTGGAAATATAATTATTTTTCACTGAGTGAAGTGTTGAATGTTGTTTAATGTAACATCTTTGATGATTGAAGAACGTTTTACCCTTTTCCCATGGGGAAAGGAAGGTTCTCTTTCTTTGAGCATCTTGCTAATAGTGGAAAAGATTAACCAGTTGACTATTGAAGATGAATAGCCACTTTAAATATGGAAAAACACATCAAAGTAATAATTCTGGACAAAATCATTCTGTCCTGATGACAGATGTAAAGCTGGCAGGATTGGGAAGGATAAATAATTCATTTCTATGGCATGAGATCCTTTGACACTGAATGAGTTCTCTCAGAACAGAGGCTGGTGATACGGGGAAGTCCCCTGTATTTTATCCTTGACAATGGCATCTGGGTAATCAAGTCTTTTGGAATCAGATTCCAGGGATGTCAGCCATGTATGACCATTGGTTTCACTTGAACTAAGCCTTCCTTTTCTAAGGGAAAAAAGGAGACAGACAGTGCCCACATTTTTCCTTATAAGAGCCTCCTACAGGAGACAGTGATCAAAAAGTGAAGTAGGAAGGGCCACTTCCCTGTCCTCTGAGCAAGGTTTTCCATCTTAAGACTGATTTAGCTGCAAAATCAGAGCTATGAATGTGCTTCATTAAGACGAACATGCTAACATGGTTAGCATGAAGAATGCTTTCAAAATCTTGGAAATGTATAAATCCATGTAAATTCAAGGAATTTGAAAACCTACATTATGGGCTCAGTGCACAATTTTCAGAGGTACAGGGGAAAATAAAGGCAGTGGCAGAAGAGCTCATGTTTATTCCATCTGTACCAGAAGATACTTGCCATTGTCTTGTTGTACTTATTTTGTAAAAATGCGCTGACTGAAAAATAATTATGTATTTTTCTGGTTCAGAGCAAATAGTTTACATCTTGTGTTAATAGAATTTGCTTATACCTCCAAAACCCAGAGAAATTTGGAAGAAAGCTCTATCTATCTTTTTTTAGAATAAATATAATATCCTAGAGTTCCCTGTCATTAGCAGTCCTGTTTGGGTCACTCAAGTTTTCGGCATTAAAATTTAGTCTGTGGATGTGCCCAGGTGAAGCCAGATCAATGAGCAGTTTTTTGTCATGGCTTCAACAAGAAAATCACAGCTCTTCAGTGCAATCTGGCAGGATATTAGAGAGACAAATTAAGAGATTCAAGAAGTTAGAGGGTGTTCTCCAAAGATTTTGCTTCGATGCAAAATTCAGATATCTCCAGCAATGACCAACCTTCTCTGATGTTCTTCTGGAGCAAGAAGAAAGGCTGCATGCTGCTGAGAACTGGCTGTTTTGTTTCTTTGGGTCTCATTAGGCTTCGCTCTAGAAAATTTTACAATTCTTTTCTGTTTTTTTACTCTTCATATTTTAATGAATTCTCAAAATTTGTGATGGAGTAAGAAAAAAACAGGAAACAAAGGTGTTCTGTGTTATTTGCAGTTATCCATTTAAAAAACCCACAAGCTAAAAGCTCCATAAGTTTTCTCTCAAGTTGTCTGTAGCAGTATACAGAAGAGCAAGAGTTAAAAAGTATACCCATCAAATATTTTTATTGTTGAAAAAATGTATCATCTAAATTGCTCAGATTTGAGCTTTTTTCTGTTACCTAAACTCAAACTATCAAAAGTATTTTAATGTCACTGAAATATTCCAGATAAATTACATTTAACAAACCCATCTCATTTTATACCAACAACTAATTAATAGAAGTCTTGTCATTTTTAGATTTTTTTTCCTGTTTTTTCTTTTATACATGGGAAATGTTTGAGTACCTGAGCAGTACTTGTAAGTCTAGACCAGATCTCCTTACAGTTGTAGAAATAGATGTCATTTTCAATCTTCAAACAGAGAGATCCTTTCACAATTTTAGGAACTCTGCCAGATCACAAACACAGGTAATACAATCTACAGTCTCATTTTCCAGAAATACTATAAAGCTCATAGAATTAAGGACATCACCGAAGTCTTATTTTCCTTAGGAAATGCACAAGCAGATATTTATACACTACACAAATTATTTGCTATAAAGAAATATTTTTTTAAACACATGATAAATTTAGAATTACCAAGTTCCACACTTTTCATGCTATTCATGAGCTGTGTTTTCTCTACAGATGTTACTAGAGCAGGCACATTTCACCAGCAGATGTCCCTCTTTCTGCACTGACAGGCTGATCTGAATTGTAACTGACCTTCTGCAGTACTTTTTTTGTCTCTTGTGGGTTGGGTGGAGAGAACACAAAATAAATGTAAGAATTATTTTGGTTCGAGTGCCAATATTTTTTTTATGTTCATGGGCAAAATTGCAACTGTTTCTAAAATGATTATGTGACATATAGTCTGACTGGTGTCTGCCTTCATTTAAAATTGCTAGCAATTTGAAGTATTCCATGTTTGCTTATTTGTTCCAAAACATTATTTATCCTGGAGGTGGTTTTTTTGTCATTATTATTAGGCTTCATTTCTCTTTGAAAGATGATGAAGAAAACAACCAGATTATCTTGGATCTTGCTGTTTATAGGTAAGATTTTTTTTCCTCCTATTTTTTTTCCATTTTTAAGTTTTAATACACAATGTTTCCAGTATCTTCCTTTCTGTAATGGGGAATTTTCAGGATAATAAATAATATAGAAGGTAAAAGAGTTAATCTTGAAGCCTGTGCTAAAGAAATGAAGCTGAATAAACCAGTGACCTCTCAGTCTGTTCTGTTATTCCTTAATGAGGACTGTAACTAATAGTCCTTTTTGGAATTGATGTTTTCTGCCGTCCACAGGCAGGTTTCCTCCACTCCTGTCCTTTTATACTCGTGTAAAATCTTGTGCATTCTTCGTTTGCAAATTAGGGTAGTAGGGAATGGGGTTTTTTGCCCAATCTCTGGCTCTAGAAGTGCTCTAGTACAGTTCGTGTACTTCTACTTAAATTCTGCCTCGTAAGACACAGTAGGGTCACCTTCTCCTACTTCCCTTGCTCACTGGCAAGAGTTTATGGCCCATGTTATTTCCTGAACTGTGCCAATACAATGCCTGGTAGAAATTTGGTTGAACTAGACCCAAATGTGGCAAGGAAACATGCTAACTATATGACAGTATCTACTACTGCTCAGTATAGTGGCCTTGCTCATGCTTCAGGAAGGTGCTGGAAACCCACAAGCTTATTTACCCAGAGTAGGAACTTGTTAGAGAAAAGCTTGAGCTAGTTTTATAGCACATAAACACTATTCAAGCCAGATGTTCTGCCATTAATTTCCTTCAAAAGGAGCCAGCTCCATGTTTCTGAATTAGAAGAATTACCTTGGAGCCTCAGAAAATCTGTTCAAGTGCAATAAAAAGCTGGATATGTTGTATTTTGTGCTCACCTGTAAGAGATGCAAATAAAGATTGAAAAAAACACCTAAGAAGTAACATTCCAAAAGAAAGGAAGCAGGAAATATGTACATTCACTAGTAGGTTGCAGGAGCATGAGTGCATGTGTCATATGATGAAAAGCAGATGTTGAAGTGAACCTTTTACAGGCCACAGATTTTGTTTGACAGTACTGAAATCTAAAAACACTGTGTTTTCTGGGAATGTAAAATATTTCTGTTCCTTATTTTCCAGTAAATTCTGTGCAAAAAAAGCCTACTTTTATATAAATTTATATTTAGTAGTTTAACCTTCAGAAAGAAAAGTAGCAAACTACTTGCACAATTTTAAATAGCAAAGAGTTAATTTTCATGTTACTGTAAAGCACTAAACTAGAAGATGAAAGAACTTTCCATTTTACGCAAAGATTTTGGATTCTTGCAGTTATATAATAGCTAATGTGGTGGACTTGACAGAATTTAGACATTCTTTTAATTGACATTCTGTGAATACACAGGAACATAAGGGTTTTTTTCCAAAGACATTAAATCCTCAATATTTCTTACAATTTACTAACTGAAATTGAAGTTTGTAGTTCATAAACTGCAAAAATCGTAATGAAAGAGCTGTATGATCTGCACTGCTTATTTATTGGGCTGTACTGTAGGTGGATTAATTTATTTGTATTTCCTTCTGAAGACATTTGGACACTTCTCTGCTTGATGTTGATGTCCAGCCAATGTACATACGAGTATTGGTGAAGGGAAAGGTTAGTGCTTACTCACTACATTAATTTAAAATCAAGAATTAATGCTTCCCATAGTTGTTAAATGGACTCTGGATCTGACATGTATGAGTTATAAACCATGTGCACCTATGCAGAAAAAACATTCTTTCATACTTGCATTATTTTGGACCACACAGAAACTATGGAAGTCCAAACCAGAATATATGTAAAGCCTGAAATAAAATTTCACTCTCTCTTTCTCTCCTGTCTTCTTACTCCCCACACACGGTGTTCCATAATTCACTGAGCCTGCTAGTTGCCCTAGGCTAGAATTTAGTAATTTCGCATTCTGGAATTTATAGCTGACAGAAACAAATGGATGTATACTATTTTGAAAGGGCACTTAAAATGTCATTCCATTTTTTCTCTGTTCTCAGTGGTTTTAATTTTAGCATCAATTTTTTTAAAAATTCAAAATATTTAAATGGTAAACCAAAATCCCTATTTTTGACTGTACCAACTGCATAAATAAAACTTAAGAATTACTTTATGTCTAAAATAGACTGGATAATCTTTCTCATTTAATTGCTAATATAAGTCAAGTTTCATTTTCTAACCTTCTTCAGAAATGTCACTTGAGGAATGACAGCAATTCAGAAATATACATTTGACTATGTAAGTAAAGCTGTTTAGCATGCTAATCATTTATTAGGATTTGTAAAACTACATATAAAGTGAGAGGATTTAGACCTACACTATCCTTAAAATCAAAGGATGTGCTAGTTATGTTTCTGCATGTGATTTTTCCATGTAAAACAAAAAAAAAAATGTAGCATTTAGCATACATTTAATCAAATATATTTCACTCCCATATTTTGTCATAGCCTTTTCAGCTTGTGCTCCCTGAGGAAGTGAAGCCAGACAGCAGCTCTGCTAAAAGATCACAAACAACTGGGCATTTAGTTGTCACCATGCCAAAGGTATGTAAATTAATCTGAGGAGGCATCAGAGATACTTCAAATGTTGTGAGTGCTTTGGGAATGTTTCTGAGTTACAGGTAACATCTGGGTAGCTGAAGTTATTCATTCTAGTCTTTCCCATCAGAGTGTAATTTCCGAAGAAAGAACATTTCAGGAAGACAATTTAATCATAGAGCCAAACCTTAGGACTTAAGATACCTTTAAAGAAACATTATGAAAATCAACACTAATAGAACTGTTTGTATGTCCTTTATTTTGTTCCAAAACCAGCTTTTTATATATGAAAGAGACTTTGCAAAACAGTATTATGCAAATGTATAAGAAAATGAATATCTTTAATATCTGAAAATAAGGAATTTACCTGCTTGCTTTTTCCATCTGTATTTTTATTTTATTTTATTTATTTTATTTCATTTTTTTCCAACCTGTGAAAGCCCCAGGTCAGATGGAGCACTGAGCAACTTGGTCTAGTGGGAGGTGTCCCCACCAATGGCAGGGGGGCTGGAACTAGATGATCTTTAAGGTCACTTCCAACCCAAACCATTCTATGATTCTGTAATTCTCTGACAAAGGGCAGATTTGATCTGAATGGCATAAAGGGGTAGGATGGGGGCAGAAACAGGAAGGTGTTTGAGGTGGGACTTGATGTTGTCTGGTGCAAGACAGGGTTCTTAGACCTGCAGGAAGAGCAGAGATGGATTGAAAGGCTTGGAACAAACAGCGAGATGGAAGTTTTAGGAAGGCAGAGTTCTGGAGATGAGAATGGATTATATGCTGGGGCTCTGGGATCTGAGGGAGAGGTTGATCAACTTCAGTATCATGCTCTTCTGCCATTATGTCTTATGGAGGGCTGGGCTGCTTTTAGGGCCTTTAGGCCTACATCATGTACTTCTGGCTTTCAGAAACAGGGTAAGCCTTCCCAAGGATAATTACAGGCCAAAAATAAATTCTTGTTGATCTAGCCTTACCCTTTTGGCCTCTAGTTTCCCTGCTGTGTAGGAGCAGTGGGACATGGTGCTACATGTGAATCTATCAGAATATATCCGTTACAGCATTTTCTTCTGAAAGAGAAGCCTTCAGCTGCTCTTGGGGTAATTTCTTCCTCTTTGTCCCCTGATCTATTTCTAAGACTATGCAACTAGTAGCTGCAACTAGCAAGTTATTTTTCAGCTTTTAGCTTTTTCCATTTGTGGTTTTGTACATTCTAAATTTTCTTCTGTACTTCAGTCCCTTACCATCTGTTTCTCCCCTCATGGGCATCTCCTCATGAAACCAAAAACTGTCACTCTAGCACCAAGCATGCAGTTTACCAGGAGCCTGAAGAATGCTGAAAAATTGTACTCCTTCGGTTAAGATCCATATTTTGTTAATGTTCAGAATTCACTCATATGAGAATTTATCCTTTCCTAATTTTATATATTTGGAAAAACTAGGCCTTGACATTTGCCATTTTGGATGATGTAATTTTCATTTTTTTTCTAAATGGTTTTGTTTACTATATACTTTTCTTTTGGATATTTTCAGTACTCTCAGTCTTCTATCCCATAAACTGTTTTTATTACTCTCATATCTTGCTACTCCCATTGTGGATTTAGAAAATGCAAGTACTTCAAAGAATTACTGCATGTATTAAAATCCTCTGCCTGCCTAAAAGTCATATCTGAAACAGCAAAATCAGTATTATCTCTTCATACTGTGAATGAGAACTGCCTTTATTCCATTATTAACTTTATGTTTCACTTACATGTTACCTGCCTTGATATTTTACCTTCACCTATGTATTTTACCTAGCCTGAGGATCTGGAGCCTGCATCACCTCAGAATGTCACATTTCACAGATATTTGTGAGATCTGAGGAGAGAGAAGCCCTACAGAATAACTGAATTGATGTTCTGAGCTTTGCCTTGGTTTGGTTAAAAACTGCTGGTGTAGCTGGGATACAGAGAGATATGCATGACTAGAGTGCTGCATGGTCTAGTATCTTTGTTGTCAGTTAATCCAAAAACTTGGATGCTGGAAAGCAGCTTTGCAGAAAAGGACCTGAGATTCTTAGTGGACACCAAGTTGAATTAGAGCTGGCAGTGTCCTCTTCTACCAAGGAAGGCTGGTGGTATCCTGGGCTGAATCAGGAGTTTTGCCAGCAGGCCAAGCCATGCAATCCTTCCCCTCTTTTTGGTACTGATGAGGCATACCTGGATTCTGTGTCCAGCGCTTGGCTCCCCATGGACGTACTGGAGAGAATCCAGCAAAGGGCCACAAAGATGTTGAAATAACTGGAATATCTTTCCTATGCGGAAAGGCTGAGAAAGCTCGACTGTTCAGTCTGCAGAAGAAAAGACTCAGGGGAACTTATCAATACATCTAAACACTTGAAGTGTGGGTCCAAGGAGGATGGAGCCAAGGTCTTTCCAGTGGTGCCCAGTGACAGGACCAGAGGCAATGGGCACAAACTGAAACACAGGAGGTTCCCTCTGAACATCTGGAAACACTTTCTCACTGTGAGGGTGAGTGAACAATGACACAGGTGGCCCAGAGATGTTGTGGAGTCTGGAGACTGAATCAGATGACCTGCAGAGGTTCCTTCCAACCTCAGCCATTGTGTGAATCTGTGAACATGGATTTGCTGACGAAAGGTGGATTCATGCTAGGTCATGACAATTGCATGCAGCAGATACAAACCTATTGTTCATTGTGCCATATTCCAGTCACAGAACCTGTTCCCTTCCCCCAGGACTGAATTAAAGTGCACAGGCTGTATTTTTGGGACAGGTTATTTTCAGACGCTCTCGCTCCATACACATTTTATTGCTATTAATGTGATCTAATCTAGGAAGCAAAGTATAATGAATAAATGTTAGCAAACACAGGTAGGCATTACAAAAAGTACAACAGATATATTTCTTCCAGAACATTGTCTGAGGTTACCAACAATGCTTGAGAATACTAATTTGATATCAACTTCATATGAATTCCTTTTAGCAAGAAAATAGGACAAACAGATTTCATGCAACTTCTTCAGGTTACATCAGTGATAAGACAAGCCTAATGACTGTATTGCACTGTGTTTAATGTTTTTGTTCTTGATAAGCAATTAGTAGAAAAAAAAAATATTTGCAACTAGATAAATGACCTAGCACATTCCTAAGGTAACTGAAATGTTAAAAATGCTACTAACCTAGAATTGTCTCCTATGATAGGCTTCTTGCAATACTGTTCTGAAAAGTTCTCTCTCTTCTCAGTAACAGAAAGATGACTGAATTCAGCAAGTGTTTTTCACTTGCTTTAGTGAGTTTCTGATCCGGTTACTAAGCCATTCACCATTCATCTTCCAGCCTGCTCTGACTTCCCTAGCCTTTAAAATGAAAAAAACAAAACCTCTTCCCTTGCCTTGCGAGTGACCTTGCCATGCTGCAGATGGAGAAGACAGTTAATTCCACATGAAGTAAAAGAAAGCAAATAATTTTCACCATATTTTTTCTTGAAACATTTATCTTAAATGTAATATTTATTGCACAGCAAATCACTGCAGAATGGGAGTACTTGTAAGGCAGTGTCTACCAATATTTTTTGGAAGGTCAGCAAAACAAACTGAAGGACACAATGTTCAGTGAAATTATATAGTGAAATTCTTAAAGTCTGTTTAGACTGTAATAATAATCTGTGCAAAGAGCTGATAGTGACTAATTGTACGTGCCTCATTTTCTGGGAAAAATATTTGTGACATGAAGCTTTTCAAACTTTGATCCTCTATGTTCTGACAGTGTCATCATTGCAGATGATGCAAGAAAATTAAAAACTGAGAGTTTTGTTAACAGATTGACCAAAATTGGCATATTCAATTGGTGATTTTGTTAAATGTCATCAGTAGCTTACACCAGTAGCATTTTAATTAATGTCTGAGAAACAAAATGAAAAGTAGTGTTATTAGCAAGCAGTTTTTAGTTAGGGTTCCTCATTGTATTTTAAAACTAAACTTTCTTTATTTTAGTGACTCAGGGAGCAAAATGTGGACTTTTTGATTAATCCTTTATTATATAAGCAGTCACAAATGAATTCTGACAGTTTTTTATTGCTTGGGCCTTCAAAAGCATTTAGAAACTTGAAGATCAATGAGATTCCTTAATTAATTTAAAAATAGAAGTGGCATATATTATGCATGTCAGTGTAAAGGTTATTTGATAGAATTTCATTATATAATTCTCACTTATCTAGGTATGCAGTAATATTTCATTACCATCAAAGGCATTTGGAGACATACAGCTGTGGAGCCCTAGAAACCTATTAATCCTACAAAATAAATGTGTTTCAGGGAAACTGTTACTCAGTGGAATTCCCATTGTAGAAGAAGAAAGCCACTATAGGAAAAAAAAATCATAGAATCATTTAGGTTGGTAAAGATCTTTAAGATCATCAAGCTCAACCATTAACCCTACTCTACCAAGTCCAGCACTGAGCCATGTCCCCAAGCACCACATCCAGCTGACTAGGGGATGGTGACTCAACCACCTCCCTGGTCAGCATGTTCCAATGTCTGACAACCCTTTCAGTGAAAAAGTTCTTCCTAATGTCTAGTCTAAACCTCCCCTGGTGCAGTTTGAGGTAATTTCCTCTTGTTCTATCATCAGTTACTTGTGAGAAGAGACCAGCTCCTACCTCTTTACAATGTCCTTTCAGGTAGTTGTAGAGGGCGATGAGGTCTCCCCTCAGCCTCCTTTTTTTCAGACTAAAGAGCCCCAGTTCCCTCAGCTGCTTCTCATAAGACTTGTTCTCAAGGCTTTCTTGCCCTTCTTCAGACACACACCAGCACCTTGATGTCTTTCCTGTATTGAGGTGCCCAAAACTGGTCACCGTACTCAAGCTGTGGCCTCACCAATGCCAGAGAGACGTACGGAGAGACAGTCACCTCTCTGGTCCTACTTGCCGTGCTAATTCTAAGACAGGCCAGGATGCCATTGGCCTTCTTGGCCACCTGGGCACACTGCTGGCTCATATTCAGCCATCTATCAATCAGAACCCCCATGTCCCTTCCTGCTGGACAGCTTTCCAGCCACTCTTCCCAAAGCTGGAAGCATTGCATTGGGTTGTTTTGGCCCAAGTGCAGGACCTGGCACTTGGCCTGGCTAAACTTCATACATTTGACCTTGGCCCATCAATTTAGTATGTCAAAGCCTCCCTACCCCCAGCAGATCAACACTCCTTCCCAAATTGGTGTTGTCTGTAAACTCACTGAAGGTCCATTCATCTCCTCATCAAGATCGTCGATAAAGATGCTAAAAAGAAGTGGTCCCAACACTGAGCCCTGAGGAACCCCACTTGTGACCAGCCACCAGCTGGGTGTAACTCCATTCCCCACCACTCTCTGGGCCTGGCTGTCTAGCCAGTGTTTTTCCCAGCAGAGCAGATGCCTGTCCAAGCCATGAGCAGCCAGTTTTGTCATCACAATGCTGTGGGAGACAGTGTCAAAGCCTTACAGAAGTTTAGGTAGACAACATCCACAGCCTTTCCGTGTTCCACCAGGTGGGTCATAGAAAGAGATCAGGTTCATCAAGCAGGACCTTCCTTCCATAAGCCCTTCCTGACTGCACCTGATAATCTGGTTGTTCTGTATATGGTGTATAATGGCACTCAAGGTGATCTGCTCCATGACCTTCCCTGGCACCAAGATCAGACTGACAGGTCTGTAGTTCCCTGGATCCTCCTTTCAGCCTTTCTTGTGGATGGGTGTCACATTTACTTCCCTCCAGTCCACTGGGACCTCCCCAGTTAGCCAGGACTGCTAGTGATATCACTGGTAGTGATAGGACAAGGAGTAACAGTTTTAAACTGAAAGAGGGAAAAATTAGGTTAGATATTAGGAAGAAAGTCTTCACTCTAAGGGTGGTGAGGAACTGGAATGGGTTGCCCAGGGAGGTTGTTGATGCCCCATCCCTGGAGGTTTTTAAGGCCAGGTTGGACGAGGTTTTGTGCAACCTGGTCTAGTGGTAGGGTTCCTTGCTCATGGCAGGGAGGTTGGAACGTGATGATCTTTGAGGTCCCTTCCAACCTTAATGATTCTATGATTAAATGATGGAAAGAGGCTTGGCAAGTGCATCCGCCAACTCCTTCAGTACTCTTGGGTGCAACCCATCCTGTCCCATAGACTTATGGATATTTAGATGGCGTAACTGGTCACTGACCCTTTCCTGTTGGATTACGAAGGTCTCATTCTACCCCACCTCCTTGTTTTCCAGCTCGGAGGACTGGGTGTCTAGGGAGCAACCAGTCTGACTGCTAAAGGCTGAGGCAAATAAGGTATTTAGCACCTCAGCCTTTTCCTCATCCTTTGTCACTATGTTTCCTCCTGCATCCAATAAAGGTTGGAGATTCTCCCTAGTCCTTGTTTTATTAATGTGTTTACAGAAAGATGGTTTATTGTCTTTGACAGTTGTGGCCAAGGTGAGTTCAAGTTGGGCTTTGACTCTCCTAATTTTCTCCCTGCATTGCCTTCCTGCATCTCTGTTTTCTTCATGAGCGGTCTGTTCTGTCTTCCAGAGGCCATAAACTCTCCTTTTCCTGAGGTCCAGCCAAGTTTTTCTATTCAGCCTATTTCTATTTCTTTGGGAAGGGGAATTCACTTGGACTTTGAACTAGAGATTCTGTTTTAGCAAAGGAGCTGAGAGAGCTGTGGTCACTTGTCTCTTTAAAAGGGTGAGAAGTCCCAGCTGCAGTAGATTCTTTAATAAAAATGTTTGAACTAGCACATGCACACCAGAACTGAAGTGTAAGTGGGAAGTGCATCATGAACCAGTTAGTTAGCTATGGAGAAAATCAGGTTACCAATATGCATTGTTTACGGGGTTTTAAACAAGGCCAGCATCTATTTACATATAAATAGATGTATATATTTAAATATTGTGTATATATACACTCATATATATTCGAGTATAATTGCATTCAGATAATTTGGTTAAAATTGCCCTGTGTATGTGTTTCATGCTGAGTAAAGGGTTAAAATCTAACAGAAAAAGTAGATGTCAGAGGAGAAAATTTATTCAGACCCTCTACATTTTTCTATTTTTGAGAGATTATTTAAATGCTTGTAAGCATAATTATTAACTTTCATGAGACTGATTTTTCTGCCTATTTTTATTTTAGGCTAAAGAAATAATCCTGGCTAAGCAAAAAGTATCAGCTTCAATTAAAGATTCTGACTGCAACACATTGCAAAAAAATATAAGAAGGTAATTTATATTTTTCTCTTGTATTAGTTTTTGTGTTTTGGGGGTTTTTTTGAGTTTTTTTTTGTTGTGGGTTTTTTTTTTTGTCTGTTCTTCACATGTCAGAATGTGTGCTTATTATGTTATTGTTGAAAGTATGAACATATTGATTTGAATAGAGTAAAACTATGTTGAGAAGCTTTAGACTGGTAGCCTTTATGGTGCTGTTTACAAGGTGATCTGCTTCAATAGCAAAGCCAAAAAAACACTTATTTCTGCAGATCAGTTTTGTTCCATCAGCTCATTCAGATTATTAAGCAGGTATGTACTAAAACTAAGTCACCTACTGAGAACTACTTCTGCAGAGCCCCTGACTGTGTCACTGAAGTATGCAAACCATTTAGACAGCGATGATTTTTAATCTCTCTCCTGAATGTATGATCTACAAATTGAGCTACTGCAGTAATAGAGGTTCAAAATGCAATTATGCAAGGTTTTATAATGTTAAATGTGATGTCAGCTCCAGCTCTTGAAGACTTGCAGTTAATGACTGCCAGAGCAAGCAAATACCAGTGATACACTATTCTTTATTTTTCCTTTTAACAAGTGTTACCAGCCATTGTTGTAGATGGACACTGGGGCTGATGGACATTTGGCATAAGTACAGGTACTATGATATATCTTTTAATCATTGCTTTTCTTCCTGCTATAGGAAAAAGTGTTCATACCAAAATAATATACAGTAACAACAAGGCTTGTTAAGCAGTTTGTCTGTTTATTTTTTAAGTGTTGCATTTGTTTTCTTTTTTTCATGTCATTGCATTGCATGCTGATGGAAAGGCTAAGCAGAGGGTAAAAAATAGCATTATGGATCATGGGTATTCTTCTTGTTCTCAATACTTAGGACACTGGTAAAATGGCTTTGCAACAATTACTTGTCATTAATTCTGCTTTTTATTTTTAATAAGTATCAGTCATGACTTCTTTTGTTGAATTACCCTCATGATGAGAAGATAAGGCACCTGCAGCAAGCACTGCACCCTTTCCTTAGGCAGCAGTGTCACAGAGGCACCCACAAACACAAAAGCTTACTAGGAATGAGTATTTACTCTAAGCAACACTATTTAGCACTCTAATAAATAAAGAATAATACCACAGATTCAGATGTTGGTTGGGAATATTAATAGACTACACCATAACTACTTAAGAAGTCCTAAGTTTTTTTATTAGTCTTAACATAGATAATAATAATAGTAATGCCACATGTGCACACTCAGACAAAGAGAAAACCTCTCTCTCAGGTACGTGGAATCACTTGCCCAACAGGGAAAAGCTAACTCAAAGATATATCTAGAAGAATTATCACTCACCAAAGATGAGGTCACCCAATCTTGAGAAGTCTCCTTAGGTAGTGTCCTGACCTAAGGTGTAGGCTTTCTGGCAGACCTGCTGCTCCGAGGGAAAACGTAGCCATGCTTCCTGGAGGTGACTCCATTTTTATGGACTAAGTCAGATCTGACCTGCGGTCATTCATTCATTCATTCATTCATCTACCTGGGCCAAGACACCCAACTGGCTGGGAACTCTGTTCTTCGGTGGAGGGTCGCACCCTAGCAATCCCCAAATTGCCACCGTGTCTGCTGGTAGTTCCACAGCCCAGTGGGACTTGAGACCAGAAATCGGTCTCAGACCACCCAGTCTAACCCAACAAAAGGGGGCAGGAGGGAGGGGTTCAAATACTTTTAAAAGGTTTGTTTCCCACAGAAGTACAGCTAAAACTTTAGATACATTGAAGAAATCAGTTAAAAGAAATGTCTTGACTTTTTCCAAGGAGAAAGCTAGATCTTTGTTAGATAACTGACCTTATCTCTCTTCCAAATGGATTCTGCAGAAAAGAGTTGTCAATTGGTGGATTAGGAACTTCCTTAGAACATTCTGTTTGCCTTTAGCTTTGTCTGCACTGTAAATGTTTAAATTAAAGTAATAATGGGAAATAATGTAAGTACTAAGGGACATGCAAGTAATAATGGAAAGTGGTGCTCTTTCCTACTGATGAACTAAAGATACTCGATGACATAGCGAAAGTTCAAGAATTTGTGTTTGATTTCAGTGTAGTTTTAAGCAATTCTGAATATGCTTACTGCAGATTTTGAAGGAAAAATACTAATTTTATTGTTAAAATATTACAGGAATATATGTAACAACATTAGAAGTAGGAAAAAAGCATTTTTAATTAAAATTCTTATTAAAAACAGTAAGTTTTGACTTCTTTAGTAGAAAAGTTGCTGACTAGTTGGATGTTAAAAATTTGCTGAATAGTTGTCTCTAAGACCACAAAAGAACATTTATTACAGTGATTACACTTGACAGATACAGATGTCTTAGCTAAATGCTGTCAGACGTATAAGCTGCTACACTATAATATATGCTTTAAATCTTTTTAACTCTTGTTAACTAGATTACATGATGATAGTATCATTACTTCTGCAATATAGGAGGAATTTCTTCTGTGACTGTGTACAAAACTGTGTTTCAAGCCTTCAAAGAGACAAGTTTCTCTGGCAGGAATTTGACAGGTTGATTTATTATACTTATAAAGCCTCTATTAATATAGCAGTTGAGTATGGCAGTCTTGACTGTGTCTGGCCTCGCAATTGATCTGTGAGGTATAAAAGTTGAGTTTGCCACAGTTGCATAGGTGAGATTCAGATATAGGCAGGAATAGACTACTTTGAAGTCATACTGGAAATTTTAAGGGTAACTGTTACATAAAGTCAATAATCCTTGTTTCATATCCTCAGCTTTAGACTGTTCTTCCTTTGAGACATTGGAAGGGAAAATAAAATGAAATAAAGCTCAAAAAAGCAGCCCCATGAAGAAGGACCTTGGGGTCCTGGTGGATAAGTTATCCACAGGACAGCAATGTGTCCTTCGCCAAGAGAGCCAGTAGTGTCTTAGGATGCATTAAGATCAGTGTGGCCAGCAGGTCTCCCCTCCCTCTACTCTGCCCTAGTAAGACCACATCTGGAATTTTGTGTCCAGTTCTGGGCTCCTCAGTTCAAGGGGGACAGGGATACTCTGGAAAGAGTCTGACAAAGGCTACTGGGATGATTAAGGGACTGGAACATCTGTCATATGAGGAAAGCCTGAGAGACTTGGGGCTGTTTAGTCTTGAGAAGACTGAGAGGGGACCTTATTAATGTCTATAAATATCTGAAGGGTGGATGTCAAGAATGGGCCAGTCTCTGTTCAGCGGTGCCTGTGATAGCACGAGGGGAAATGGCACCAAGTTGCAACACAGGAAGTTCCACCTCAACATGAAGCAAAACTTCTTTACTGTGACAGTGACAGGGCCTTGGGACAGGCTGCCCTGAGAGGCTGTGGAGTCTCCTTCTCTGGAGACTTTCAACACCCATCTGGAAGTGCTCCTGTGTGATCTGCCCAGGTGTTTTGTCTGCAACAGGGGGGTTGGACTCCGTGATCTTCAGAGGTCCCTTCCAACCTCTGTGATTCTATAATTCTAAGAAAATGTCTTAAATAAAAATATACACACAGTTGAACTCCATCACTACAGAAAGATACATGGGAATACATGAAAGAGACTTTTTTATTTTTTTGTTTGTTTCAGTCTTTCATTGTGTGTTTTTGTTTGTTTGTTTGTTTGTTTATTACTGTAGTCTTTGTATAAAGAGAGTCAGAGAAACAGAGAATGGATAAAGAGGCAGAATAACAGAGCAGCAATTTCTAAGTTACTTCACAAAGCAGAATTAAAAACAAAGCAAGTTATGGTCTATTTGTATCTTTTATAGTGAAATAAGGAATGTAAGGTAAAGGTGATTTCTGTTTGAATAGTTCAAACATTGCAAATCTGGTTGGTGAGAGTGTCTTTCTTGTCTTAGCTAAGGAACAGTGCTCTGGTTGACTAAGCCAGCAGGTGCTATAGAAAATACTGTGTCATGCATTAGGTTAGAAATCTGACTTGTGTTCTGATGGAGTCAGTTCTTACCCACAGTATCTAAATTACAGCTTTCTGGGGGGTTGTTTGTTTTTTGTTTGGTTGGTTGGTTGGTTTGGGTTTTTTTAATCTATGTTCTTAAGGGGAAAACCAAAAAAACACCCAACCAAACATATGCTGCTGGAATATCCACCACTTTCTGCTGGTACACCCATGAACACCTGTTTGAACAGGTTATCCAGTTTGGCAAAATTTTACCAGTTGGGAGAAGCATCAAGTATATAAAAATGCCTTTAACTTATGGTGAACTTGAGGCCAAGAAAACTTGTTTTTAATCATTCTGCTAGATTTTAATTCAATTTTTTTTTTAGCAAGGATGTCATCATAAGACATCTACTGTGTGTAGATCGTAAATCTTGGAAATTGACTGGATTTGCAGAAATTGTATTTTCAGGCTACATAGTTTGTCAGCTGTCATGAAAACATTAAGTTTTACAATGCCAGTTCCATTTTCTGGGAAAGGAGGAACCATAGGAGTGTAATTCAATTGACTTAGAAAGTGGAGTCAGGTATGACTTAAACAGCATATTTCAGAAGCTTTTTACTCAAGTTAATCTTTAAGTATAGATTCATTTGCAATTCTCATGGAGCCTTGGAGCTAATCAAAGTAGGGGATATCTATCTGTTTGTCTAATGAGGAAAACAAGAAGTGGGGTGCCTAAGAAATTAGTTGAAAAGTCATTTGCACTCAGAGACATCTGGTAATTCATCACTGAAATGGGTCTTCTGAAGAGCAGCATTCTCAAGAACACTGATAAGTCTTGATCACAACAATCTAAAGTCATCTCCAGGTGTCCATATGTGACAGGGACAAAAGACTGAGAGCAGTGGCATACTTGAAAGTGTCTTTATAACATTCCATAACTTTGTAAACAAAATCTTAACACCTTGGTACAATAAAGTGTGTTTTCAGTGTAAACTTCCCTAATGTTTAAACATTAGGACTCAGCTTTGACTGACACATTTAACAGTGCTTTTTATTTTACTGGGTTAATTGGGGAGTGAAAATGAGGTGGTATTATAGCCAGAGATAGAAGGTCAGGGTCAATTTGCATATTACAGGAGTTGGAGCATATTTTTAGCTAACAGACAAGGTCAGTTTGCAGTCCTTGAAATGGTTGTGCAAAAGGCAAAGGATGGAATGATAAAGCTGAAAATGTCACAGACCCGATGATTTTCTGTCCAACTTTTAGAGACTTGGATGCTAGTGTTAGATATGTTCTTAGTCTAATGAATTCTATTTCTGAGATATATTTGTCTTTTAAAACAGAATAACCTGGTTATCATCAGCCTTTTATTAATCAGAATTATTTACCAGTGATTTGTTCGTTCTTCTTGATTGTAGTTTATTCCTTGAAAAATGATTTTGATTCTACCATCCATTGCGTTTTCGTGTCTTCCCAATGATCCATTGATTCTGAATACTCCAGTTATAGCTTCATTTCAGATTACACCTATGTAGTAAGATTTGAAAGGCCTCTTACACAATGAAAGAGGTATTAATATTCCAGATATTTATAAAACCATGATCATTTGCTTAGATCACCTTGTAGGTTTTTCTAAGCCTGTATTTTCAAAAGTCGAGACCAGAGGACAGCAGGCATCAGACCTCCACCACCAATTTTTCACAGAATCACAGAATCTTAGAGGTTGGAAGGGACCTCAAAAGATCATCTAGTCCAACCCCCCTGCCAGAGCAGGGTCACCCAGAGCACATCACACAGGAACGCATCCAGGTGGGTTTTGAATGTCTCCAGAGAAGGAGACTCAGCAGTCTCTCTGGGCAGCCTGTTCCAGGGATCTGTCATTCTCACAGGAAAGACATTTTTTTCTGATGTTTATGTGGAACCTCCTATGCTCTATTTTGCACCCATTGCCCCTTGTACTATCACTGGACATCACTGAAAAAAGCCTGTCTCCATCCTCCTGACACTCACCCTTAACATATTTGTAAACAGTGATGAGGTTGCCCCTCAGTCTCCTCTTCTTCAAGCTAAGGAGACCCAGCTCCCTCAGCCTTTCCTCATCAGGGAGATGTTCCACTCCCTTCATTATCTTTGTGGCTCTGCCCTGGACTCTTTCAAGCAGTTCCCTGTCCTTCTGGAACTGAGGGGCCTAGAACTGCACACAATATTCCAGATGTGACCTCACCAAGGCAGAACAGAGCGGGAGGAGAACCTCCCTTGACCTACTAACCACACCCTTTCTAATACACCCCAGGATGCCATTGGCCTTCTTGGCCACAAGGGCACATTGCTGGCTCATGGTCATCATCCTGTCCACCAGGCCCTCAGGTCCCTTTCTCCTACACTGGTCTCCAGCAGGTCAGCCCCCAACTTGTCCTGGTCCATGGGGTTGTTCTTCCCCAGATCTAAGACTCTACACTTGCCCTTGTTGAATTTCACCAAGTTTCTCCCTGCCCAACTCTCAGCCCATCTAGATCTCATTGAATGGCATCACAGCCTTCTGGTGTGTCAGCCACTCCTCTCAGTTTAGTGTCATCAGCAAACTTGCTGAGGGCACACTCTGTTCCCTCATCCAGGTCATTGATGAAAAAGTATTGAATAGCCCCAGACCTGTACTGGTATACTTTTTAATACACATAGATAAAAATCTGTCTTTCTCAAAGCTCTCAAATAAAGTATAATTCCATTTACTGATATAACTCTATTTTCTTATACAAGAAAGGATGTATCGCTGCTTTTTCCAATACAATGTATTGCATTCCAAGATGATAATCACTTTTGTTGTGCTTCATTCACGGTGTTAGAAGGCTGGAAAAAGTGCCTCTCCAAAGCTGTCAGTTGTGACTTGTAAATATCTTTGGAAATCCTGATGCCAGAAAGGAAACTTACAGTCCAATGTCAGAAAATGTATATTGTGGAACAAATGGATGATAAATCTTTAGAAACCTAAATTTTATTGAAATTCGGAGTTGAAAGAGGAGAATATAACTGTGAAATATTAACATTTCAAATAGGGGGATTAAGAACTGTGTGAACAAAAGTGTAAATTATCAAAAAATATCAAATTATTAGATATGTACCCTGTCACACACCAGATTGTCCAGCAGGCTGCTAGAGTTGTACAAAATAGAAGGACTGACTTTTCGTTTTCTTTTTTGAAAGCATTTTTTAATTATGTGGAGATAGAAATAATCTTTCAAAGGGGAAAAAAAAAAAAAAAAGCCAGTAAAAAGAAAGGATTTAATCCAGTATTATTTCATTTGTATGGTGCTCTAATCTTTACACTATAGTTTTCCCCTGAGTAGAGACCCCTTAGCAGCAGCTGGCAGTGCCTAAAACTGTGAACTTCTTTTTTTTTTTCTTCTATTTATTTAATCCTGAAATTGAAATAATTTGCAGACATTGAGATTTCCAGACATGAGCTGGTTCTGTAAGAAGTATTATTGTTTTCATCACAGTTGTCTTAACCATTGCTCATGGGATTTTCAGGAACAAGATTATTTTTACTCTGCTAGGTAGAATTACATGGAAAAAATGCCTAGATATCCTAAAACTCATTCTGTCTTCTAAAAATGTTCAGGAGGTTAGTGTTGATATCATCAATACCCAGCCTCTTTTTTTGCCTAGATTACATGATGAGAGGAGCAGAATCTAAGCAGATGTATGTGTTGTAGCTGCACTGACTTCAGCATAACTGAATCTGGTCATCAGCCAAGCATTTGTGTCATGGTAGTTGAGACAGCACCATGAAGCTTTGCTAAACGAGTCTAGAATATTTGATCACTTTCATATAAGTATATAGAAATCCACTTCCTTTCAGGAAAAAAAAAATCACCTGTGCTCTATACTCAGTCTTTGCTATTATTTCTTGCTAGTAGACACTTCTAGATAAAATGCCCTGATTAAGTTTTGGGAGTGACTGATGTGTTTAGCCCTTTCCTAGCTTCTTGATGTGTATTGTTACTTATGATGCTCACTGTTAATTAATTTCTGATGTATTGAAATCTATGCTGCTCCTAAGCAATAAGATATGCAAACTTAACAGAGTTTATTGTTTTCTCATGACTAGCACTTTGTACACTTTTAGAGCTGTTGAATAACTGTAGAGTGCCACTACTAATTAAAATACTTCAAATCAAGCCAAATCTTTTCTACCATGTAACTGAAGCACAGGCTGTAATTAATTTTTGTATTTCTGTTTTTTTAGCTTTTTCTGAGGTGCTTCAGATTAGTGATTAGATTAATATTTTGGATGGGGCATGCTCTCTTTAGAATCTTCCCAATTAGCTACTGAGAAAGTGTTTCCAGGTCACAGCATATTTCATAAATTACACAGGAAATAAAAATCCCTCTTGCACGTAGGGGATGAACATTTTCTAGAATGTTGCCACAAACTTAATCCACTTTTATTTCATTAAATTGTGTAATATAAGAAAAAAATCTAGCCTTATAAATTGAAGGACAGTCAAGGTAAAGGAAAAAAAGTTTCCTCATACCTGTCTTTATTGCTCGTAAAAACTCTCATCTGAGTAGTTTTTGTTCATGCCACGTTTGGAAAAAGTTACCCAGATTATTAAAGCAGAGTGTTTCCATTTCTTTAGTGCTCTACTCAGCACTAGCATAGGAGGAGAGGAGGAAACCTCTCATTAATCCCCTCTGCATCTCTCCACTGGGACAGATGTGACCTGGGATGTCTGCTCATACCTCATAGAACCCTCACGGACAAGCACTGGCAGAATTTGGAAGTTCCTTGGCAATCCTCTTCATTTTAACAACTAAATGTGATGGGTTTCAATTTAAATTCTTTTAGTATACTTTATTTGCATGTTGTCATTGCCTGCATTGTCATTAAAAACTGTATTATTTGAGTCAGTGACTTTGATACTTTTTTGTTCCATTGAATTGTTCAGCTCCTCCATTAGAAAATAATATTGGCTTTAAATATCTGAAGACAGAATGTATGGTGAGACCCTGGTACAGGTTGCCTAGGGAAGCTGTAGATCCCCCATCTCTGGAAGTGTTCAAGGCCAGGTTGAATAGGGCTTGGAGCAACCTGATGTAGTGGGAGGGGTCCCTGCTCATGCAGGGGGGTTGGAACAAGATGATCTTTAAGGTCCCTTCTAACCCAAATAATTCTATGTTTCAGTAATTTCAAAATTTTGATCAGCATGTGATGTGGATAGACTGATGTAATGAATGGACTGTAAACATTTTAAAGTGTGATCCAAAAGAATACCCTTTACAGCAGTAGAAGCTGGAAATTCTGTTAAAACTCTGACCTTTCTTATACGTTCATTTATTTTTCTGTCATAATCAAGGTGAGGATTCATAATGTTAAAACATAAGAAGTTGCTGATAAAAGAAAATAAATGAGTATAATTGCATTTTCTGTCACATAGAAATGAATAGTCAACTACTGTGAAAGAACTGTGCTTAAAAAAAGATATGAAAGAAAAAAGAATGACAAAACAATTATACTACAAAGCCCCTGTCTTACATCAAAAGCCAATCATTTGTAATGTGATACCAGCAATCACCATGTTATGATATAAAGCAAAATATAGATGTAAAAAAAAAACTTCTAATGTTTGCAAGCTAAGGATTCTTTTATACACAATTTTTGAGATTTTGTAGCACTTTTGTGTTTACAATGAACTTTTTATAAGAATAATTTTTTAAGTCTTAATCTTGGTTTAATTGGACTCCATTAACAACTCACACTTAAGTCCACTGATTTATAAACAGGCATCAAAAATTGTTTTGTTCTATTTAACACTGAAATTAAGCTTTTAATTTGTTTTCTTCTTGTTTCAGGAGTGTACAAGTTGAGAAACTGGAAGTGGATCCCAGTAAATATTCATTCCCTGACGTGACAAAGATAGTCCAAGAAAAGGAACGAATTGGACAGGGCCCTATTAGGCTACAACCAAAGATTACAGAGGCTACAAAGAGTTATGTTGATTTTGAAAATAATGAAGATGTTCCTCCCTTAATTTGAAGCATTCTTAAGTAGTCCCTCTATATGTGGCTTTTATGCTTCAGTTGTTTTCATGACCTTCTGTGTAAAGTAAGTGTAATATAGCTGAAGTTGGAAATATTATTACAGTTCTTACCATAAACTTTGATATGTCACTGTTTTCTGCTGCATTTTCTGTCAGTATATTGCTATATAAACTCTTTTTTTTTCTAGACTGTTTACTTAGTAGGTCTCAAATCAGAATGGGAGTCATATAAATCAGATGTTGTTTCTTCAAAGCATTTACTGTCTAGCTTGAAAAATGACATAGTATGGTAGAAGGAGAAAAGACTTGTTACAAGATTTATGATTATTCTGACTAAACTGATGATGGCAAAAATCTCTGTGGATTCCTTCAGTGTTTTCTTTTCATGAAGGACAACATTAAAAGAAAAAAAACTTATTCTGGGAGTGAGAGACATTGCTGTAACCTACCATACATCAGGGAATTTTCCTGCATTAATGCAGACCTCCTGGATTCTGGAGCTGGTATGACAATGCCATTCCTTGAAGATTTTGGGAGACAATAACATTAAGTCAGGATCTCAGATGGTGCACTGTGGGGAAGGTGGGAGAAATGAGTGAGAACGCTCTTGTTCTTAATGTAGCTGCTCTTAACTCTTCTGTCTTTTTCAGGATCTCCTAAAAATATCAAGGCTTATTTTCAGCTGTTGGATGAAATAAGGTTGAGCAGCTGTGATGGGATGAGCTGCTCCTTCCCTACCCTCCAATTCTTTTTAAGCAACTAAGAGATTCCTTTACCATATTTTTTCCCTGATGTTCTTGGTTGCTCAATGAGTGAAACAGGCAGCATCAAAGAACAAATGTATACTTGCCATTTGGCAAGACTACATTTTTACTGGTTTATTTTGTTTTGGGGTTCTTTTTCTTTGCTTGTTTGCTTTTGGCTGGGTTGGTTTGTTTGTTTCTTTCTTTTGTCAGGTTTTCTGAGGCTTGTCATTCTTAGCTCTGATTTTAAATTCCATGTCTGGTATTTTCACCCTATTTTATGGAATAGAAAGGTCAAAGAAATACTCAGCTCTTCTAAGTTTAGTGAAAACCATCACAGAGCAGTAAAAAGGAATTCTCTAGAAGCAACTGCTGTTTAGAAGAGAGAACCCAGCTGCTGCCTATTCTGGTAGTAGACACTCAGCTAATCAATATGCTGGTAACTGAACTTGTGCATGTTATCATTCTTGCCTCGGTAGTAGCTAAAGGAAGTAGGCAATCATGATGGTAGAGCTCTGGGAACTTAGGGAAAAACTGAGGAGAGTGTGGGAAATATTTAGAAAATATGGTTAAACCTTGGGTTACTATGGAAGCAAAAGGTGGATATTGAGTAGACACTGGAATTTTGCAGAGGGAGGGTTGTTGAAATGAGGAATATGTAGGGAACATATGACATAAAACCATAGAGAATCAAGCCTGCTTAGCTCTGTTGCCTACAAAACAGTTAATGTAAGGATATATATGTGCTTCAACATCTTTTTGTTTGGTTGTTTTTTTTTGCTAGGCAATTAGCATTGAATTCCATAGTAAAAAGGAATACCTTTCTTTTTTACCAATTTTAAGGCTACTGTTATTTCAAAAAACAAAGAGAAACTCCAAGCAAAAAATGCATTGAGTGACCTACATTAGCTTGCTAATGAATTTGAAACTGTTTCTCTGTTAAGAAAAGCTTGATTTGGTCCTGCAGGAAGAAAATGCTTATGATTCAAACCAGCCTTTCCTTCTAACCTTCTAGGAAGCAAATTCAGCTCATGAAGAATCAAAGAATATTTTGTGGTTACAATGTCTTTTCATCATTAATATAGAAAATTAATAACTTAGGCTGATTTCTAGTGGATAGGCAATACTCTGTTTTTGGCAGGGGAGGGGTGGGGAAGAAAAGAAGAAGTTGTGGTGAGATAAAGTTACATCTCAGAACTAATAGCAGATGCCTTGGAACTACTGAAGAAAGAGTTATGGGACCACATGGAACCATGATCTTGGGATCCAATCTGAAAATGGAGAATGTTCTGAGACTCATCTTAAATAAAATTCTCAATATGTGTATGGGCTGTAGAGAATACAAGCAGAGGCTGATCAAAGAGGAATGAGGAGTACAAACAAATGATGATACCAGTGGACCATAAGAGTATAAACTCACATCACAAAGTACCAACTACAAATGACTAAGGTAATACACCCTTGAAATAAGAAAACATAAGGAAGAAGACAAAGAACATAGAGCCAACATAGATAAACGATCCCCTGTATAGTGAAAATGCGAAGAAGATAACAAACAGAATAAAAGAGAGGCACAGCACTGACAATGAAAAGGGAGAGCAAAGAAGGAAGAAGAGCACCAGCTTTGTTTCCCTCAGTTAAGGACGCGATGGCTGATGAAAACTGCTGTGCATCTGCAGCAGGCTGCTCGTATCCACAGTGGAAAATAAAAGGCTGCTTTTTTTTTGAGGCACTTGCCTCATTGTGCCACTGCAGACTCAGCAGTTGTATGTACAGCATTATCTTACTATGTAATTGGGTTAAGTATATTAAAATTTCGGAGTGTGTATCGTGGTATTTCACCTCTAGCTGGCTGACTGGGAGAATTTAAGCAGTTTGCAGTGGATAGATCTCTTCATCGTCTTGTAGACAGGAGAGGGATGGAGTTAATGACAAATTCTTGAAGTAATGAGAGGAAAGAGAATATACAATGGCTCGGGAATGCCCTTAGATTTGCTACAAAACTTCCTCCTTGCTCTAAAACGGAGTGGTGGGATGTAAGCTTTGGATTTACTCAATCAGAACGAGAGTTTTGTTGCTCATGCACAAAACAGAAGAGTCTGGTTCCTCCCAGAGCAAAGTCAACTCACCTGGATCACAAAAAAACCCAACCCAAAGCAGAAGATATTTTGTTACACTATTACAGTGTAAAGCAACACTGCACTTACAAGTGTATTGCAGAACAACATGCACTAAAATAGCAAAACTTGATTTAAAACTGCCTTTGGTCTTAGCGTCTGAGTTGTTCAGTGTGGGTATCTGAATATACCCATTAAGGGTAACAGTATTGGGCATGCAAAGTGTGCTTTCCCATTCCATATTTCAAATGATAGTTCCCATAAGGGCAAACTGGTGACTGTCAAATACATTTCTTACAAGTTAATGAATAGTGGAAGAAAGCTGCAGGGTAGCTTGAGCATTTATTCTCTTCCTGAGCTGAAGAGCAGGTGTTAGATGTCAGATCTAGACTGTGTAACTGCAGCTCCATCCAAGCAAAAATCACAGAATCACAGAATCAGAATGGTTGAGGTTGGAAGGGATGTCTGCAGGTCAGCTGGTCCAACCTTCCTGCTCAAGCAGCACCACCCCGAGCCAGCTGCCCAGGGCAATGTCCAGATGGCTTTTGAATATTGCCAGAGACTGGAGACTCCACAACATTCTGGGCCACCTGTACCAGTGCTTGGTCACCCTCACAGTGAGAAAGTGTTTCCTGATGTTCAGAAGGAACCTTCTTTGTTTCAGTGTGTACCCATTGCCTCTTGTGCTGTCACTGGGCACCACTGAAAAGACCCTGGCTCCATCTTTGCACCCTCCCTTCAGGTATTTATTTGTAGTGATAAGATTCCTTTGAGCCTTCTCCAGGCTGAACAATCCCAGCTCAGTCTCTTCATCATCTTTGTGGTCCTTCAATGAAGTCTCTCCTGTATGTTCATGTCTCTTTTGTATTGATAAACCCAGAAGAGGACCCAATACTGAACTTTATGAGACTTTATGAAGTGTATATGAATTTACAAACTTTATGAATCATACTTAGAGAGGGCAGCATTTACTGCTAAGGTTTGTCCTACCCTTTCATTTAAAATACACCATTATGAATGCCATCCTCTGCAAGGAGGTGAAATTCACAACACAAGATATGACACTGTCAGAAACCAATGGCTTGGATCTCAGCTGAACTGCTGTGAAGGTCACAGCCAGATGTGAGCTTTAGAAGGACTTGTGGAAGAGAGATGGCAATAGAGCAAATACTGCTTGTATAATGGGATCAGAAGCATCTGCCTGCAGGGCTAATGCAGACGTAATATCCGTGCAGGGCTTGTTGAAAAGCAGCTCGTCACACAAAGATGTAACAATTGCTTTAGTGATTGCAAACTAACCATAGCAGCTGACATCCATCCAGCAACCTAATTACATGTCCTCCCTTTGTAGGGTGAGGACATTTGGCATGAGCCCAACCACCCCTTGACTTAGATTAAGAAAAGACTTGTCTTCAACAACATCTCATGTTAGTGGGATAGACAGAGAAGGCCAGATTGCCAGAACTCAGGGTGCAAAAGACCAGGTAGATGTATAGTAAATTACTAGAGTCATGACACAACCCTTTCCCCTACCCATCAGCACAAAAGCCCTGTTAGTTATTGTTTAATTGTAAATTATTTGATAATAAACATATTTCTTCTGCTATAGAGTCATCTGTAGAATGATGAAGCTTATTGTTCCTATGCACACCACCTGAGCAATACTGGTTCAGTATACAACTGTCTCTTTCCACTTCTGCTACACCCAGGCAGAGTAAACGCTCAATGAAGCTGAAAACTAGGAAAGCAACTTAAAAATTAGTAAGGGCACAAGGTATGACATAGTTTAGAAAACAAAGCTTACAGAGTGACAGTTTATGTTTTACATTTTTAAAAGCAGAAATTGACAAGAAGGATTATTAGTAACAGTACTGCAGATGTTGGCTTCGTGGTCATGCAGTGGAACTATCTAATAATCAACTGGGATCTCTCTGGGTAGGTTTTGTACAAACAGCTTCTGCAACGAGTCTGTCCCAGTCAAAACATTATGAGAACCACAGAGAGCCATCAGGCCTCAAGCCTGGTAACTATTGCTTCCAGAAACACCATGAGGTGTTTTTAAAACTTTTAAAACACCATCTGAGGTGTTTTTAAAACTTACTAAAATTGGAAGGAGGAGGGAAGGAAGGGAAATAATGTCCCCCACTAACCAAATCATGGGAGATGTTACTTCCATTCCTTGTTTTCTTTAACATAGAGTCAGTTAGACATACTGGACATGGTCTCTTCTGCTTTACAAGCCCTCACTATAGACTGCAACCACCATGCCCTTC